GGCTTCTTAACAAGCAAAGTCAGAGTGATTTCAAGAGGCGTTATTTCTTCTCCAGCACCTGTCGGAGTGGTGGAGGATATTGTGGATTGCAGCCTGAACCTGATGGCTCTGGCAATGACACGTCCATTGAAATCACTGTCTAGACTGGAAGGCTCTTCTGCTTCCGAAGTGATGGGAAGGTCTGTCAGTTGGATGTCACCTTTGGTTTTGTCCGGCAACACTGAACCTCTACCTCTGACATCCGACAAAGTCCAGACTCGCTATCCATGGATTCCAGACAGTACCCTGCAGGGAGAAAACAGGGCTTCCGTCAAGACACAGCAACGATTTGGGTCAAGTGGGATATAAACTGCAAACGTTTCCCAGGCACCAGACAGAACCCATTTCCAACACAAGCAAAACCTATGGAGATGTCGATGCAAAAGAGTTGGCAATTTAATCTTCAATGACTGGGCCTGCTTTACCTTGGGTTGTTGATGAGGGAGGAGTCGTGGTTATCAGAGTGGTGGTGACACTGGTGGTTCTTGTCGTCGGCTGAGTGGTGTATTCTATGCAAAATGGTAATAATGTTGAGAAATGTGTATTTAAAGCATAAAGTCTTTGACAGAATAGTCTGCGAGGAAACAAAATTACATCTTTTGGTGGTTTATTTAGATCGCCTGAACGGTGACATTCGGATGTTGGTGCCGAATAACAGGACAAAGTGTTCTGAAGATATCTTTCGAGTTTTAGACAATAAAAGAACATTTCTAAAGGTCTACCTTTGATGCAACCCAGAACATGTAACTCAAATGTTGTTGCGTCATCGTCACTGACAGACTGGAATTGTACGCGCAGTTCAGTGATGCCATCCAGTGTGTCTTCATCTATCGGCAAGTACTTGATTTCGGGTTGGTCTCCTTCCAGACGGACAGTTATCAACTGGAAAAGATGGGAGAAAAATGCCCTGGTCAGTACATTGGTCAGTGTTGGGCTTGAGAAGAAAAACAGGAGCCTGGATGTAAACAACTGAGCGAAACAAAATCAAGGACACAAGCTGGTCGTAGAAAGAAGCAATGCCAAGTGTTTAACACGGCTGTATTAATACCTTGGGCTGGTTGGTGTTATCATCAACCAGTGTAGTGAATTCATCATCGTCGGGCTTCTTGGTGGACAGAGTGAGGGTGACCTCAGTCAGCCTCTCCCCTGCAGCAGTCCTGGATGTGGTTGTGCTTGCTGCTGGCTGACCCGTGGGTGCACTTGTTGCTTGAGGAGAACGCGAGGCTAAGACTACTGCTGTGACCTTGATGGGTTGACGGAAGAGGAGCTCTACGCTGGGGATATCACTTGAGCTTGGGTCAATTGGCAACTGGGTGATTGTCAAGTAGGAGGTCTGACTATCAATTGTGAGATCTCCAGCCGCCTTAACTTCAGGTTCAAGTCCCTTTTCCCCATCCATGGGCTCTAGACAGTAACCTGCATTGAGAATATCCAGAAACGGTTGGTAAATGCAGAAAAGAAAGCACTGACATGCGTAATTTCGGGTGGAAAAAGCTTGATGAGAGGTGGTATGGAAATGTCCGAGGGTGATAATTTTAGTAAAAAGTTCACGTCCACACTATTCACCTGGAGTAGTTGACATTTGTGACGTCGTGGTTCGGGAGCTTGTTGTTTCTTCGCTGACAGTTGTTGTCGGTGTTGTGACAGTGGTGACTTTAGTGGTCATTTCAGTTGTTGTGTATTCTAAAGAATGCAAACACAAATATGTACTTGGATGAGCCGATGAAAAAGATACCTTGCATTTTGCAAGTAGTGAGACCTTTGGCCCGAGGTCATATCATCAAACTGTTTTTTTCCGTGCAACTTGCAAGGTTCAACTTCAGACAAAATGTACTTGATGAAACCGTAAATAACATATAAAAAAGCCAACAAGCAAAACAAACACATGAAAATAACCTTTAGGGCAGCCTACCTTCTGCACATCCCAGAACCTCCACTTGCAGTCTTGCTGATTCACCACCGGTCACAGTTTGGAACTCAATACGCAACTGCTCAATGCCCTTCAGAGCTGTGTCATCGCTCGGGAGCAGCAGTCTCTCAGGCAAGTCGCTGTCAAGGGTGACTCTGAAAATCTGTGCAATGAAGAGGACCAAACATGCTTAGAATTTAGTCATTTAGAAATGAGATACTGGACAACTGGGAAAGCAAAGTGGGCAAAGTGAGTGTAACCCGATTCTGTTGATTTGGGGGCTTTCTTACCTTCTTTTGAGTAGTGTCCCCTTCCAAAACGGGCGTGAAGTCGCTATCTCCTGGCTTCTTAACAAGCAAAGTCAGAGTGATTTCAAGAGGCGTAATTTCTTCTCCAGCACCTGTCGGAGTGGTGGAGGATATTGTGGATTGCAGCCTGAACCTGATGGCTCTGGCAATGACACGTCCATTGAAATCACTGTCTAGACTGGAAGGCTCTTCTGCTTCCGGAGTGATGGGAAGGTCTGTCAGTTGGATGTCACCTTTGGTTTTGTCCGGCAACACTGAACCTCTACCTCTGACATCCGACAAAAGTCCAGACTCGCTATCCATGGATTCCAGACAGTACCCTGCAGGGAGAAAACAGGGCTTCCGTCAAGACACAGCCAACGATTTGGGTCAAGTGGGATATAAACTGCAAACGTTTCCAGGCACCAGACAGAACCCATTTCCAACACAAGCAAAACCTATGGAGATGTCGATGCAAAAGAGTTGGCAATTTAATCTTCAATGACTGGGCCTGCTTTACCTTGGGTTGTTGATGAGGGAGGAGTCGTGGTTATCAGAGTGGTGGTGACACTGGTGGTTCTTGTCGTCGGCTGAGTGGTGTATTCTATGCAAAATGGTAATAATGTTGAGAAATGTGTATTTAAAGCATAAAGTCTTTGACAGAATAGTCTGCGAGGAAACAAAATTACATCTTTTGGTGGTTTATTTAGATCGCCTGAACGGTGACATTCGGATGTTGGTGCCGAATAACAGGACAAAGTGTTCTGAAGATATCTTTCGAGTTTTAGACAATAAAAGAACATTTCTAAAGGTCTACCTTTGATGCAACCCAGAACATGTAACTCAAATGTTGTTGCGTCATCGTCACTGACAGACTGGAATTGTACGCGCAGTTCAGTGATGCCATCCAGTGTGTCTTCATCTATCGGCAAGTACTTGATTTCGGGTTGGTCTCCTTCCAGACGGACAGTTATCAACTGGAAAAGATGGGAGAAAAATGCCCTGGTCAGTACATTGGTCAGTGTTGGGCTTGAGAAGAAAAACAGGAGCCTGGATGTAAACAACTGAGCGAAACAAAATCAAGGACACAAGCTGGTCGTAGAAAGAAGCAATGCCAAGTGTTTAACACGGCTGTATTAATACCTTGGGCTGGTTGGTGTTATCATCAACCAGTGTAGTGAATTCATCATCGTCGGGCTTCTTGGTGGACAGAGTGAGGGTGACCTCAGTCAGCCTCTCCCCTGCAGCAGTCCTGGATGTGGTTGTGCTTGCTGCTGGCTGACCCGTGGGTGCACTTGTTGCTTGAGGAGAACGCGAGGCTAAGACTACTGCTGTGACCTTGATGGGTTGACGGAAGAGGAGCTCTACGCTGGGGATATCACTTGAGCTTGGGTCAATTGGCAACTGGGTGATTGTCAAGTAGGAGGTCTGACTATCAATTGTGAGATCTCCAGCCGCCTTAACTTCAGGTTCAAGTCCCTTTTCCCCATCCATGGGCTCTAGACAGTAACCTGCATTGAGAATATCCAGAAACGGTTGGTAAATGCAGAAAAGAAAGCACTGACATGCGTAATTTCGGGTGGAAAAAGCTTGATGAGAGGTGGTATGGAAATGTCCGAGGGTGATAATTTTAGTAAAAAGTTCACGTCCACACTATTCACCTGGAGTAGTTGACATTTGTGACGTCGTGGTTCGGGAGCTTGTTGTTTCTTCGCTGACAGTTGTTGTCGGTGTTGTGACAGTGGTGACTTTAGTGGTCATTTCAGTTGTTGTGTATTCTAAAGAATGCAAACACAAATATGTACTTGGATGAGCCGATGAAAAAGATACCTTGCATTTTGCAAGTAGTGAGACCTTTGGCCCGAGGTCATATCATCAAACTGTTTTTTTCCGTGCAACTTGCAAGGTTCAACTTCAGACAAAATGTACTTGATGAAACCGTAAATAACATATAAAAAAGCCAACAAGCAAAACAAACACATGAAAATAACCTTTAGGGCAGCCTACCTTCTGCACATCCCAGAACCTCCACTTGCAGTCTTGCTGATTCACCACCGGTCACAGTTTGGAACTCAATACGCAACTGCTCAATGCCCTTCAGAGCTGTGTCATCGCTCGGGAGCAGCAGTCTCTCAGGCAAGTCGCTGTCAAGGGTGACTCTGAAAATCTGTGCAATGAAGAGGACCAAACATGCTTAGAATTTAGTCATTTAGAAATGAGATACTGGACAACTGGGAAAGCAAAGTGGGCAAAGTGAGTGTAACCCGATTCTGTTGATTTGGGGGCTTTCTTACCTTCTTTTGAGTAGTGTCCCCTTCCAAAACGGGCGTGAAGTCGCTATCTCCTGGCTTCTTAACAAGCAAAGTCAGAGTGATTTCAAGAGGCGTAATTTCTTCTCCAGCACCTGTCGGAGTGGTGGAGGATATTGTGGATTGCAGCCTGAACCTGATGGCTCTGGCAATGACACGTCCATTGAAATCACTGTCTAGACTGGAAGGCTCTTCTGCTTCCGGAGTGATGGGAAGGTCTGTCAGTTGGATGTCACCTTTGGTTTTGTCCGGCAACACTGAACCTCTACCTCTGACATCCGACAAAAGTCCAGACTCGCTATCCATGGATTCCAGACAGTACCCTGCAGGGAGAAAACAGGGCTTCCGTCAAGACACAGCCAACGATTTGGGTCAAGTGGGATATAAACTGCAAACGTTTCCAGGCACCAGACAGAACCCATTTCCAACACAAGCAAAACCTATGGAGATGTCGATGCAAAAGAGTTGGCAATTTAATCTTCAATGACTGGGCCTGCTTTACCTTGGGTTGTTGATGAGGGAGGAGTCGTGGTTATCAGAGTGGTGGTGACACTGGTGGTTCTTGTCGTCGGCTGAGTGGTGTATTCTATGCAAAATGGTAATAATGTTGAGAAATGTGTATTTAAAGCATAAAGTCTTTGACAGAATAGTCTGCGAGGAAACAAAATTACATCTTTTGGTGGTTTATTTAGATCGCCTGAACGGTGACATTCGGATGTTGGTGCCGAATAACAGGACAAAGTGTTCTGAATATATCTTTCGAGTTTTAGACAATAAAAGAACATTTCTAAAGGTCTACCTTTGATGCAACCCAGAACATGTAACTCAAATGTTGTTGCGTCATCGTCACTGACAGACTGGAATTGTACGCGCAGTTCAGTGATGCCATCCAGTGTGTCTTCATCTATCGGCAAGTACTTGATTTCGGGTTGGTCTCCTTCCAGACGGACAGTTATCAACTGGAAAAGATGGGAGAAAAATGCCCTGGTCAGTACATTGGTCAGTGTTGGGCTTGAGAAGAAAAACAGGAGCCTGGATGTAAACAACTGAGCGAAACAAAATCAAGGACACAAGCTGGTCGTAGAAAGAAGCAATGCCAAGTGTTTAACACGGCTGTATTAATACCTTGGGCTGGTTGGTGTTATCATCAACCAGTGTAGTGAATTCATCATCGTCGGGCTTCTTGGTGGACAGAGTGAGGGTGACCTCAGTCAGCCTCTCCCCTGCAGCAGTCCTGGATGTGGTTGTGCTTGCTGCTGGCTGACCCGTGGGTGCACTTGTTGCTTGAGGAGAACGCGAGGCTAAGACTACTGCTGTGACCTTGATGGGTTGACGGAAGAGGAGCTCTACGCTGGGGATATCACTTGAGCTTGGGTCAATTGGCAACTGGGTGATTGTCAAGTAGGAGGTCTGACTATCAATTGTGAGATCTCCAGCCGCCTTAACTTCAGGTTCAAGTCCCTTTTCCCCATCCATGGGCTCTAGACAGTAACCTGCATTGAGAATATCCAGAAACGGTTGGTAAATGCAGAAAAGAAAGCACTGACATGCGTAATTTCGGGTGGAAAAAGCTTGATGAGAGGTGGTATGGAAATGTCCGAGGGTGATAATTTTAGTAAAAAGTTCACGTCCACACTATTCACCTGGAGTAGTTGACATTTGTGACGTCGTGGTTCGGGAGCTTGTTGTTTCTTCGCTGACAGTTGTTGTCGGTGTTGTGACAGTGGTGACTTTAGTGGTCATTTCAGTTGTTGTGTATTCTAAAGAATGCAAACACAAATATGTACTTGGATGAGCCGATGAAAAAGATACCTTGCATTTTGCAAGTAGTGAGACCTTTGGCCCGAGGTCATATCATCAAACTGTTTTTTTCCGTGCAACTTGCAAGGTTCAACTTCAGACAAAATGTACTTGATGAAACCGTAAATAACATATAAAAAAGCCAACAAGCAAAACAAACACATGAAAATAACCTTTAGGGCAGCCTACCTTCTGCACATCCCAGAACCTCCACTTGCAGTCTTGCTGATTCACCACCGGTCACAGTTTGGAACTCAATACGCAACTGCTCAATGCCCTTCAGAGCTGTGTCATCGCTCGGGAGCAGCAGTCTCTCAGGCAAGTCGCTGTCAAGGGTGACTCTGAAAATCTGTGCAATGAAGAGGACCAAACATGCTTAGAATTTAGTCATTTAGAAATGAGATACTGGACAACTGGGAAAGCAAAGTGGGCAAAGTGAGTGTAACCCGATTCTGTTGATTTGGGGGCTTTCTTACCTTCTTTTGAGTAGTGTCCCCTTCCAAAACGGGCGTGAAGTCGCTATCTCCTGGCTTCTTAACAAGCAAAGTCAGAGTGATTTCAAGAGGCGTAATTTCTTCTCCAGCACCTGTCGGAGTGGTGGAGGATATTGTGGATTGCAGCCTGAACCTGATGGCTCTGGCAATGACACGTCCATTGAAATCACTGTCTAGACTGGAAGGCTCTTCTGCTTCCGGAGTGATGGGAAGGTCTGTCAGTTGGATGTCACCTTTGGTTTTGTCCGGCAACACTGAACCTCTACCTCTGACATCCGACAAAAGTCCAGACTCGCTATCCATGGATTCCAGACAGTACCCTGCAGGGAGAAAACAGGGCTTCCGTCAAGACACAGCCAACGATTTGGGTCAAGTGGGATATAAACTGCAAACGTTTCCAGGCACCAGACAGAACCCATTTCCAACACAAGCAAAACCTATGGAGATGTCGATGCAAAAGAGTTGGCAATTTAATCTTCAATGACTGGGCCTGCTTTACCTTGGGTTGTTGATGAGGGAGGAGTCGTGGTTATCAGAGTGGTGGTGACACTGGTGGTTCTTGTCGTCGGCTGAGTGGTGTATTCTATGCAAAATGGTAATAATGTTGAGAAATGTGTATTTAAAGCATAAAGTCTTTGACAGAATAGTCTGCGAGGAAACAAAATTACATCTTTTGGTGGTTTATTTAGATCGCCTGAACGGTGACATTCGGATGTTGGTGCCGAATAACAGGACAAAGTGTTCTGAAGATATCTTTCGAGTTTTAGACAATAAAAGAACATTTCTAAAGGTCTACCTTTGATGCAACCCAGAACATGTAACTCAAATGTTGTTGCGTCATCGTCACTGACAGACTGGAATTGTACGCGCAGTTCAGTGATGCCATCCAGTGTGTCTTCATCTATCGGCAAGTACTTGATTTCGGGTTGGTCTCCTTCCAGACGGACAGTTATCAACTGGAAAAGATGGGAGAAAAATGCCCTGGTCAGTACATTGGTCAGTGTTGGGCTTGAGAAGAAAAACAGGAGCCTGGATGTAAACAACTGAGCGAAACAAAATCAAGGACACAAGCTGGTCGTAGAAAGAAGCAATGCCAAGTGTTTAACACGGCTGTATTAATACCTTGGGCTGGTTGGTGTTATCATCAACCAGTGTAGTGAATTCATCATCGTCGGGCTTCTTGGTGGACAGAGTGAGGGTGACCTCAGTCAGCCTCTCCCCTGCAGCAGTCCTGGATGTGGTTGTGCTTGCTGCTGGCTGACCCGTGGGTGCACTTGTTGCTTGAGGAGAACGCGAGGCTAAGACTACTGCTGTGACCTTGATGGGTTGACGGAAGAGGAGCTCTACGCTGGGGATATCACTTGAGCTTGGGTCAATTGGCAACTGGGTGATTGTCAAGTAGGAGGTCTGACTATCAATTGTGAGATCTCCAGCCGCCTTAACTTCAGGTTCAAGTCCCTTTTCCCCATCCATGGGCTCTAGACAGTAACCTGCATTGAGAATATCCAGAAACGGTTGGTAAATGCAGAAAAGAAAGCACTGACATGCGTAATTTCGGGTGGAAAAAGCTTGATGAGAGGTGGTATGGAAATGTCCGAGGGTGATAATTTTAGTAAAAAGTTCACGTCCACACTATTCACCTGGAGTAGTTGACATTTGTGACGTCGTGGTTCGGGAGCTTGTTGTTTCTTCGCTGACAGTTGTTGTCGGTGTTGTGACAGTGGTGACTTTAGTGGTCATTTCAGTTGTTGTGTATTCTAAAGAATGCAAACACAAATATGTACTTGGATGAGCCGATGAAAAAGATACCTTGCATTTTGCAAGTAGTGAGACCTTTGGCCCGAGGTCATATCATCAAACTGTTTTTTTCCGTGCAACTTGCAAGGTTCAACTTCAGACAAAATGTACTTGATGAAACCGTAAATAACATATAAAAAAGCCAACAAGCAAAACAAACACATGAAAATAACCTTTAGGGCAGCCTACCTTCTGCACATCCCAGAACCTCCACTTGCAGTCTTGCTGATTCACCACCGGTCACAGTTTGGAACTCAATACGCAACTGCTCAATGCCCTTCAGAGCTGTGTCATCGCTCGGGAGCAGCAGTCTCTCAGGCAAGTCGCTGTCAAGGGTGACTCTGAAAATCTGTGCAATGAAGAGGACCAAACATGCTTAGAATTTAGTCATTTAGAAATGAGATACTGGACAACTGGGAAAGCAAAGTGGGCAAAGTGAGTGTAACCCGATTCTGTTGATTTGGGGGCTTTCTTACCTTCTTTTGAGTAGTGTCCCCTTCCAAAACGGGCGTGAAGTCGCTATCTCCTGGCTTCTTAACAAGCAAAGTCAGAGTGATTTCAAGAGGCGTAATTTCTTCTCCAGCACCTGTCGGAGTGGTGGAGGATATTGTGGATTGCAGCCTGAACCTGATGGCTCTGGCAATGACACGTCCATTGAAATCACTGTCTAGACTGGAAGGCTCTTCTGCTTCCGGAGTGATGGGAAGGTCTGTCAGTTGGATGTCACCTTTGGTTTTGTCCGGCAACACTGAACCTCTACCTCTGACATCCGACAAAAGTCCAGACTCGCTATCCATGGATTCCAGACAGTACCCTGCAGGGAGAAAACAGGGCTTCCGTCAAGACACAGCCAACGATTTGGGTCAAGTGGGATATAAACTGCAAACGTTTCCAGGCACCAGACAGAACCCATTTCCAACACAAGCAAAACCTATGGAGATGTCGATGCAAAAGAGTTGGCAATTTAATCTTCAATGACTGGGCCTGCTTTACCTTGGGTTGTTGATGAGGGAGGAGTCGTGGTTATCAGAGTGGTGGTGACACTGGTGGTTCTTGTCGTCGGCTGAGTGGTGTATTCTATGCAAAATGGTAATAATGTTGAGAAATGTGTATTTAAAGCATAAAGTCTTTGACAGAATAGTCTGCGAGGAAACAAAATTACATCTTTTGGTGGTTTATTTAGATCGCCTGAACGGTGACATTCGGATGTTGGTGCCGAATAACAGGACAAAGTGTTCTGAAGATATCTTTCGAGTTTTAGACAATAAAAGAACATTTCTAAAGGTCTACCTTTGATGCAACCCAGAACATGTAACTCAAATGTTGTTGCGTCATCGTCACTGACAGACTGGAATTGTACGCGCAGTTCAGTGATGCCATCCAGTGTGTCTTCATCTATCGGCAAGTACTTGATTTCGGGTTGGTCTCCTTCCAGACGGACAGTTATCAACTGGAAAAGATGGGAGAAAAATGCCCTGGTCAGTACATTGGTCAGTGTTGGGCTTGAGAAGAAAAACAGGAGCCTGGATGTAAACAACTGAGCGAAACAAAATCAAGGACACAAGCTGGTCGTAGAAAGAAGCAATGCCAAGTGTTTAACACGGCTGTATTAATACCTTGGGCTGGTTGGTGTTATCATCAACCAGTGTAGTGAATTCATCATCGTCGGGCTTCTTGGTGGACAGAGTGAGGGTGACCTCAGTCAGCCTCTCCCCTGCAGCAGTCCTGGATGTGGTTGTGCTTGCTGCTGGCTGACCCGTGGGTGCACTTGTTGCTTGAGGAGAACGCGAGGCTAAGACTACTGCTGTGACCTTGATGGGTTGACGGAAGAGGAGCTCTACGCTGGGGATATCACTTGAGCTTGGGTCAATTGGCAACTGGGTGATTGTCAAGTAGGAGGTCTGACTATCAATTGTGAGATCTCCAGCCGCCTTAACTTCAGGTTCAAGTCCCTTTTCCCCATCCATGGGCTCTAGACAGTAACCTGCATTGAGAATATCCAGAAACGGTTGGTAAATGCAGAAAAGAAAGCACTGACATGCGTAATTTCGGGTGGAAAAAGCTTGATGAGAGGTGGTATGGAAATGTCCGAGGGTGATAATTTTAGTAAAAAGTTCACGTCCACACTATTCACCTGGAGTAGTTGACATTTGTGACGTCGTGGTTCGGGAGCTTGTTGTTTCTTCGCTGACAGTTGTTGTCGGTGTTGTGACAGTGGTGACTTTAGTGGTCATTTCAGTTGTTGTGTATTCTAAAGAATGCAAACACAAATATGTACTTGGATGAGCCGATGAAAAAGATACCTTGCATTTTGCAAGTAGTGAGACCTTTGGCCCGAGGTCATATCATCAAACTGTTTTTTTCCGTGCAACTTGCAAGGTTCAACTTCAGACAAAATGTACTTGATGAAACCGTAAATAACATATAAAAAAGCCAACAAGCAAAACAAACACATGAAAATAACCTTTAGGGCAGCCTACCTTCTGCACATCCCAGAACCTCCACTTGCAGTCTTGCTGATTCACCACCGGTCACAGTTTGGAACTCAATACGCAACTGCTCAATGCCCTTCAGAGCTGTGTCATCGCTCGGGAGCAGCAGTCTCTCAGGCAAGTCGCTGTCAAGGGTGACTCTGAAAATCTGTGCAATGAAGAGGACCAAACATGCTTAGAATTTAGTCATTTAGAAATGAGATACTGGACAACTGGGAAAGCAAAGTGGGCAAAGTGAGTGTAACCCGATTCTGTTGATTTGGGGGCTTTCTTACCTTCTTTTGAGTAGTGTCCCCTTCCAAAACGGGCGTGAAGTCGCTATCTCCTGGCTTCTTAACAAGCAAAGTCAGAGTGATTTCAAGAGGCGTAATTTCTTCTCCAGCACCTGTCGGAGTGGTGGAGGATATTGTGGATTGCAGCCTGAACCTGATGGCTCTGGCAATGACACGTCCATTGAAATCACTGTCTAGACTGGAAGGCTCTTCTGCTTCCGGAGTGATGGGAAGGTCTGTCAGTTGGATGTCACCTTTGGTTTTGTCCGGCAACACTGAACCTCTACCTCTGACATCCGACAAAAGTCCAGACTCGCTATCCATGGATTCCAGACAGTACCCTGCAGGGAGAAAACAGGGCTTCCGTCAAGACACAGCCAACGATTTGGGTCAAGTGGGATATAAACTGCAAACGTTTCCAGGCACCAGACAGAACCCATTTCCAACACAAGCAAAACCTATGGAGATGTCGATGCAAAAGAGTTGGCAATTTAATCTTCAATGACTGGGCCTGCTTTACCTTGGGTTGTTGATGAGGGAGGAGTCGTGGTTATCAGAGTGGTGGTGACACTGGTGGTTCTTGTCGTCGGCTGAGTGGTGTATTCTATGCAAAATGGTAATAATGTTGAGAAATGTGTATTTAAAGCATAAAGTCTTTGACAGAATAGTCTGCGAGGAAACAAAATTACATCTTTTGGTGGTTTATTTAGATCGCCTGAACGGTGACATTCGGATGTTGGTGCCGAATAACAGGACAAAGTGTTCTGAATATATCTTTCGAGTTTTAGACAATAAAAGAACATTTCTAAAGGTCTACCTTTGATGCAACCCAGAACATGTAACTCAAATGTTGTTGCGTCATCGTCACTGACAGACTGGAATTGTACGCGCAGTTCAGTGATGCCATCCAGTGTGTCTTCATCTATCGGCAAGTACTTGATTTCGGGTTGGTCTCCTTCCAGACGGACAGTTATCAACTGGAAAAGATGGGAGAAAAATGCCCTGGTCAGTACATTGGTCAGTGTTGGGCTTGAGAAGAAAAACAGGAGCCTGGATGTAAACAACTGAGCGAAACAAAATCAAGGACACAAGCTGGTCGTAGAAAGAAGCAATGCCAAGTGTTTAACACGGCTGTATTAATACCTTGGGCTGGTTGGTGTTATCATCAACCAGTGTAGTGAATTCATCATCGTCGGGCTTCTTGGTGGACAGAGTGAGGGTGACCTCAGTCAGCCTCTCCCCTGCAGCAGTCCTGGATGTGGTTGTGCTTGCTGCTGGCTGACCCGTGGGTGCACTTGTTGCTTGAGGAGAACGCGAGGCTAAGACTACTGCTGTGACCTTGATGGGTTGACGGAAGAGGAGCTCTACGCTGGGGATATCACTTGAGCTTGGGTCAATTGGCAACTGGGTGATTGTCAAGTAGGAGGTCTGACTATCAATTGTGAGATCTCCAGCCGCCTTAACTTCAGGTTCAAGTCCCTTTTCCCCATCCATGGGCTCTAGACAGTAACCTGCATTGAGAATATCCAGAAACGGTTGGTAAATGCAGAAAAGAAAGCACTGACATGCGTAATTTCGGGTGGAAAAAGCTTGATGAGAGGTGGTATGGAAATGTCCGAGGGTGATAATTTTAGTAAAAAGTTCACGTCCACACTATTCACCTGGAGTAGTTGACATTTGTGACGTCGTGGTTCGGGAGCTTGTTGTTTCTTCGCTGACAGTTGTTGTCGGTGTTGTGACAGTGGTGACTTTAGTGGTCATTTCAGTTGTTGTGTATTCTAAAGAATGCAAACACAAATATGTACTTGGATGAGCCGATGAAAAAGATACCTTGCATTTTGCAAGTAGTGAGACCTTTGGCCCGAGGTCATATCATCAAACTGTTTTTTTCCGTGCAACTTGCAAGGTTCAACTTCAGACAAAATGTACTTGATGAAACCGTAAATAACATATAAAAAAGCCAACAAGCAAAACAAACACATGAAAATAACCTTTAGGGCAGCCTACCTTCTGCACATCCCAGAACCTCCACTTGCAGTCTTGCTGATTCACCACCGGTCACAGTTTGGAACTCAATACGCAACTGCTCAATGCCCTTCAGAGCTGTGTCATCGCTCGGGAGCAGCAGTCTCTCAGGCAAGTCGCTGTCAAGGGTGACTCTGAAAATCTGTGCAATGAAGAGGACCAAACATGCTTAGAATTTAGTCATTTAGAAATGAGATACTGGACAACTGGGAAAGCAAAGTGGGCAAAGTGAGTGTAACCCGATTCTGTTGATTTGGGGGCTTTCTTACCTTCTTTTGAGTAGTGTCCCCTTCCAAAACGGGCGTGAAGTCGCTATCTCCTGGCTTCTTAACAAGCAAAGTCAGAGTGATTTCAAGAGGCGTAATTTCTTCTCCAGCACCTGTCGGAGTGGTGGAGGATATTGTGGATTGCAGCCTGAACCTGATGGCTCTGGCAATGACACGTCCATTGAAATCACTGTCTAGACTGGAAGGCTCTTCTGCTTCCGGAGTGATGGGAAGGTCTGTCAGTTGGATGTCACCTTTGGTTTTGTCCGGCAACACTGAACCTCTACCTCTGACATCCGACAAAAGTCCAGACTCGCTATCCATGGATTCCAGACAGTACCCTGCAGGGAGAAAACAGGGCTTCCGTCAAGACACAGCCAACGATTTGGGTCAAGTGGGATATAAACTGCAAACGTTTCCAGGCACCAGACAGAACCCATTTCCAACACAAGCAAAACCTATGGAGATGTCGATGCAAAAGAGTTGGCAATTTAATCTTCAATGACTGGGCCTGCTTTACCTTGGGTTGTTGATGAGGGAGGAGTCGTGGTTATCAGAGTGGTGGTGACACTGGTGGTTCTTGTCGTCGGCTGAGTGGTGTATTCTATGCAAAATGGTAATAATGTTGAGAAATGTGTATTTAAAGCATAAAGTCTTTGACAGAATAGTCTGCGAGGAAACAAAATTACATCTTTTGGTGGTTTATTTAGATCGCCTGAACGGTGACATTCGGATGTTGGTGCCGAATAACAGGACAAAGTGTTCTGAAGATATCTTTCGAGTTTTAGACAATAAAAGAACATTTCTAAAGGTCTACCTTTGATGCAACCCAGAACATGTAACTCAAATGTTGTTGCGTCATCGTCACTGACAGACTGGAATTGTACGCGCAGTTCAGTGATGCCATCCAGTGTGTCTTCATCTATCGGCAAGTACTTGATTTCGGGTTGGTCTCCTTCCAGACGGACAGTTATCAACTGGAAAAGATGGGAGAAAAATGCCCTGGTCAGTACATTGGTCAGTGTTGGGCTTGAGAAGAAAAACAGGAGCCTGGATGTAAACAACTGAGCGAAACAAAATCAAGGACACAAGCTGGTCGTAGAAAGAAGCAATGCCAAGTGTTTAACACGGCTGTATTAATACCTTGGGCTGGTTGGTGTTATCATCAACCAGTGTAGTGAATTCATCATCGTCGGGCTTCTTGGTGGACAGAGTGAGGGTGACCTCAGTCAGCCTCTCCCCTGCAGCAGTCCTGGATGTGGTTGTGCTTGCTGCTGGCTGACCCGTGGGTGCACTTGTTGCTTGAGGAGAACGCGAGGCTAAGACTACTGCTGTGACCTTGATGGGTTGACGGAAGAGGAGCTCTACGCTGGGGATATCACTTGAGCTTGGGTCAATTGGCAACTGGGTGATTGTCAAGTAGGAGGTCTGACTATCAATTGTGAGATCTCCAGCCGCCTTAACTTCAGGTTCAAGTCCCTTTTCCCCATCCATGGGCTCTAGACAGTAACCTGCATTGAGAATATCCAGAAACGGTTGGTAAATGCAGAAAAGAAAGCACTGACATGCGTAATTTCGGGTGGAAAAAGCTTGATGAGAGGTGGTATGGAAATGTCCGAGGGTGATAATTTTAGTAAAAAGTTCACGTCCACACTATTCACCTGGAGTAGTTGACATTTGTGACGTCGTGGTTCGGGAGCTTGTTGTTTCTTCGCTGACAGTTGTTGTCGGTGTTGTGACAGTGGTGACTTTAGTGGTCATTTCAGTTGTTGTGTATTCTAAAGAATGCAAACACAAATATGTACTTGGATGAGCCGATGAAAAAGATACCTTGCATTTTGCAAGTAGTGAGACCTTTGGCCCGAGGTCATATCATCAAACTGTTTTTTTCCGTGCAACTTGCAAGGTTCAACTTCAGACAAAATGTACTTGATGAAACCGTAAATAACATATAAAAAAGCCAACAAGCAAAACAAACACATGAAAATAACCTTTAGGGCAGCCTACCTTCTGCACATCCCAGAACCTCCACTTGCAGTCTTGCTGATTCACCACCGGTCACAGTTTGGAACTCAATACGCAACTGCTCAATGCCCTTCAGAGCTGTGTCATCGCTCGGGAGCAGCAGTCTCTCAGGCAAGTCGCTGTCAAGGGTGACTCTGAAAATCTGTGCAATGAAGAGGACCAAACATGCTTAGAATTTAGTCATTTAGAAATGAGATACTGGACAACTGGGAAAGCAAAGTGGGCAAAGTGAGTGTAACCCGATTCTGTTGATTTGGGGGCTTTCTTACCTTCTTTTGAGTAGTGTCCCCTTCCAAAACGGGCGTGAAGTCGCTATCTCCTGGCTTCTTAACAAGCAAAGTCAGAGTGATTTCAAGAGGCGTAATTTCTTCTCCAGCACCTGTCGGAGTGGTGGAGGATATTGTGGATTGCAGCCTGAACCTGATGGCTCTGGCAATGACACGTCCATTGAAATCACTGTCTAGACTGGAAGGCTCTTCTGCTTCCGGAGTGATGGGAAGGTCTGTCAGTTGGATGTCACCTTTGGTTTTGTCCGGCAACACTGAACCTCTACCTCTGACATCCGACAAAAGTCCAGACTCGCTATCCATGGATTCCAGACAGTACCCTGCAGGGAGAAAACAGGGCTTCCGTCAAGACACAGCCAACGATTTGGGTCAAGTGGGATATAAACTGCAAACGTTTCCAGGCACCAGACAGAACCCATTTCCAACACAAGCAAAACCTATGGAGATGTCGATGCAAAAGAGTTGGCAATTTAATCTTCAATGACTGGGCCTGCTTTACCTTGGGTTGTTGATGAGGGAGGAGTCGTGGTTATCAGAGTGGTGGTGACACTGGTGGTTCTTGTCGTCGGCTGAGTGGTGTATTCTATGCAAAATGGTAATAATGTTGAGAAATGTGTATTTAAAGCATAAAGTCTTTGACAGAATAGTCTGCGAGGAAACAAAATTACATCTTTTGGTGGTTTATTTAGATCGCCTGAACGGTGACATTCGGATGTTGGTGCCGAATAACAGGACAAAGTGTTCTGAATATATCTTTCGAGTTTTAGACAATAAAAGAACATTTCTAAAGGTCTACCTTTGATGCAACCCAGAACATGTAACTCAAATGTTGTTGCGTCATCGTCACTGACAGACTGGAATTGTACGCGCAGTTCAGTGATGCCATCCAGTGTGTCTTCATCTATCGGCAAGTACTTGATTTCGGGTTGGTCTCCTTCCAGACGGACAGTTATCAACTGGAAAAGATGGGAGAAAAATGCCCTGGTCAGTACATTGGTCAGTGTTGGGCTTGAGAAGAAAAACAGGAGCCTGGATGTAAACAACTGAGCGAAACAAAATCAAGGACACAAGCTGGTCGTAGAAAGAAGCAATGCCAAGTGTTTAACACGGCTGTATTAATACCTTGGGCTGGTTGGTGTTATCATCAACCAGTGTAGTGAATTCATCATCGTCGGGCTTCTTGGTGGACAGAGTGAGGGTGACCTCAGTCAGCCTCTCCCCTGCAGCAGTCCTGGATGTGGTTGTGCTTGCTGCTGGCTGACCCGTGGGTGCACTTGTTGCTTGAGGAGAACGCGAGGCTAAGACTACTGCTGTGACCTTGATGGGTTGACGGAAGAGGAGCTCTACGCTGGGGATATCACTTGAGCTTGGGTCAATTGGCAACTGGGTGATTGTCAAGTAGGAGGTCTGACTATCAATTGTGAGATCTCCAGCCGCCTTAACTTCAGGTTCAAGTCCCTTTTCCCCATCCATGGGCTCTAGACAGTAACCTGCATTGAGAATATCCAGAAACGGTTGGTAAATGCAGAAAAGAAAGCACTGACATGCGTAATTTCGGGTGGAAAAAGCTTGATGAGAGGTGGTATGGAAATGTCCGAGGGTGATAATTTTAGTAAAAAGTTCACGTCCACACTATTCACCTGGAGTAGTTGACATTTGTGACGTCGTGGTTCGGGAGCTTGTTGTTTCTTCGCTGACAGTTGTTGTCGGTGTTGTGACAGTGGTGACTTTAGTGGTCATTTCAGTTGTTGTGTATTCTAAAGAATGCAAACACAAATATGTACTTGGATGAGCCGATGAAAAAGATACCTTGCATTTTGCAAGTAGTGAGACCTTTGGCCCGAGGTCATATCATCAAACTGTTTTTTTCCGTGCAACTTGCAAGGTTCAACTTCAGACAAAATGTACTTGATGAAACCGTAAATAACATATAAAAAAGCCAACAAGCAAAACAAACACATGAAAATAACCTTTAGGGCAGCCTACCTTCTGCACATCCCAGAACCTCCACTTGCAGTCTTGCTGATTCACCACCGGTCACAGTTTGGAACTCAATACGCAACTGCTCAATGCCCTTCAGAGCTGTGTCATCGCTCGGGAGCAGCAGTCTCTCAGGCAAGTCGCTGTCAAGGGTGACTCTGAAAATCTGTGCAATGAAGAGGACCAAACATGCTTAGAATTTAGTCATTTAGAAATGAGATACTGGACAACTGGGAAAGCAAAGTGGGCAAAGTGAGTGTAACCCGATTCTGTTGATTTGGGGGCTTTCTTACCTTCTTTTGAGTAGTGTCCCCTTCCAAAACGGGCGTGAAGTCGCTATCTCCTGGCTTCTTAACAAGCAAAGTCAGAGTGATTTCAAGAGGCGTAATTTCTTCTCCAGCACCTGTCGGAGTGGTGGAGGATATTGTGGATTGCAGCCTGAACCTGATGGCTCTGGCAATGACACGTCCATTGAAATCACTGTCTAGACTGGAAGGCTCTTCTGCTTCCGGAGTGATGGGAAGGTCTGTCAGTTGGATGTCACCTTTGGTTTTGTCCGGCAACACTGAACCTCTACCTCTGACATCCGACAAAAGTCCAGACTCGCTATCCATGGATTCCAGACAGTACCCTGCAGGGAGAAAACAGGGCTTCCGTCAAGACACAGCCAACGATTTGGGTCAAGTGGGATATAAACTGCAAACGTTTCCAGGCACCAGACAGAACCCATTTCCAACACAAGCAAAACCTATGGAGATGTCGATGCAAAAGAGTTGGCAATTTAATCTTCAATGACTGGGCCTGCTTTACCTTGGGTTGTTGATGAGGGAGGAGTCGTGGTTATCAGAGTGGTGGTGACACTGGTGGTTCTTGTCGTCGGCTGAGTGGTGTATTCTATGCAAAATGGTAATAATGTTGAGAAATGTGTATTTAAAGCATAAAGTCTTTGACAGAATAGTCTGCGAGGAAACAAAATTACATCTTTTGGTGGTTTATTTAGATCGCCTGAACGGTGACATTCGGATGTTGGTGCCGAATAACAGGACAAAGTGTTCTGAATATATCTTTCGAGTTTTAGACAATAAAAGAACATTTCTAAAGGTCTACCTTTGATGCAACCCAGAACATGTAACTCAAATGTTGTTGCGTCATCGTCACTGACAGACTGGAATTGTACGCGCAGTTCAGTGATGCCATCCAGTGTGTCTTCATCTATCGGCAAGTACTTGATTTCGGGTTGGTCTCCTTCCAGACGGACAGTTATCAACTGGAAAAGATGGGAGAAAAATGCCCTGGTCAGTACATTGGTCAGTGTTGGGCTTGAGAAGAAAAACAGGAGCCTGGATGTAAACAACTGAGCGAAACAAAATCAAGGACACAAGCTGGTCGTAGAAAGAAGCAATGCCAAGTGTTTAACACGGCTGTATTAATACCTTGGGCTGGTTGGTGTTATCATCAACCAGTGTAGTGAATTCATCATCGTCGGGCTTCTTGGTGGACAGAGTGAGGGTGACCTCAGTCAGCCTCTCCCCTGCAGCAGTCCTGGATGTGGTTGTGCTTGCTGCTGGCTGACCCGTGGGTGCACTTGTTGCTTGAGGAGAACGCGAGGCTAAGACTACTGCTGTGACCTTGATGGGTTGACGGAAGAGGAGCTCTACGCTGGGGATATCACTTGAGCTTGGGTCAATTGGCAACTGGGTGATTGTCAAGTAGGAGGTCTGACTATCAATTGTGAGATCTCCAGCCGCCTTAACTTCAGGTTCAAGTCCCTTTTCCCCATCCATGGGCTCTAGACAGTAACCTGCATTGAGAATATCCAGAAACGGTTGGTAAATGCAGAAAAGAAAGCACTGACATGCGTAATTTCGGGTGGAAAAAGCTTGATGAGAGGTGGTATGGAAATGTCCGAGGGTGATAATTTTAGTAAAAAGTTCACGTCCACACTATTCACCTGGAGTAGTTGACATTTGTGACGTCGTGGTTCGGGAGCTTGTTGTTTCTTCGCTGACAGTTGTTGTCGGTGTTGTGACAGTGGTGACTTTAGTGGTCATTTCAGTTGTTGTGTATTCTAAAGAATGCAAACACAAATATGTACTTGGATGAGCCGATGAAAAAGATACCTTGCATTTTGCAAGTAGTGAGACCTTTGGCCCGAGGTCATATCATCAAACTGTTTTTTTCCGTGCAACTTGCAAGGTTCAACTTCAGACAAAATGTACTTGATGAAACCGTAAATAACATATAAAAAAGCCAACAAGCAAAACAAACACATGAAAATAACCTTTAGGGCAGCCTACCTTCTGCACATCCCAGAACCTCCACTTGCAGTCTTGCTGATTCACCACCGGTCACAGTTTGGAACTCAATACGCAACTGCTCAATGCCCTTCAGAGCTGTGTCATCGCTCGGGAGCAGCAGTCTCTCAGGCAAGTCGCTGTCAAGGGTGACTCTGAAAATCTGTGCAATGAAGAGGACCAAACATGCTTAGAATTTAGTCATTTAGAAATGAGATACTGGACAACTGGGAAAGCAAAGTGGGCAAAGTGAGTGTAACCCGATTCTGTTGATTTGGGGGCTTTCTTACCTTCTTTTGAGTAGTGTCCCCTTCCAAAACGGGCGTGAAGTCGCTATCTCCTGGCTTCTTAACAAGCAAAGTCAGAGTGATTTCAAGAGGCGTAATTTCTTCTCCAGCACCTGTCGGAGTGGTGGAGGATATTGTGGATTGCAGCCTGAACCTGATGGCTCTGGCAATGACACGTCCATTGAAATCACTGTCTAGACTGGAAGGCTCTTCTGCTTCCGGAGTGATGGGAAGGTCTGTCAGTTGGATGTCACCTTTGGTTTTGTCCGGCAACACTGAACCTCTACCTCTGACATCCGACAAAAGTCCAGACTCGCTATCCATGGATTCCAGACAGTACCCTGCAGGGAGAAAACAGGGCTTCCGTCAAGACACAGCCAACGATTTGGGTCAAGTGGGATATAAACTGCAAACGTTTCCAGGCACCAGACAGAACCCATTTCCAACACAAGCAAAACCTATGGAGATGTCGATGCAAAAGAGTTGGCAATTTAATCTTCAATGACTGGGCCTGCTTTACCTTGGGTTGTTGATGAGGGAGGAGTCGTGGTTATCAGAGTGGTGGTGACACTGGTGGTTCTTGTCGTCGGCTGAGTGGTGTATTCTATGCAAAATGGTAATAATGTTGAGAAATGTGTATTTAAAGCATAAAGTCTTTGACAGAATAGTCTGCGAGGAAACAAAATTACATCTTTTGGTGGTTTATTTAGATCGCCTGAACGGTGACATTCGGATGTTGGTGCCGAATAACAGGACAAAGTGTTCTGAAGATATCTTTCGAGTTTTAGACAATAAAAGAACATTTCTAAAGGTCTACCTTTGATGCAACCCAGAACATGTAACTCAAATGTTGTTGCGTCATCGTCACTGACAGACTGGAATTGTACGCGCAGTTCAGTGATGCCATCCAGTGTGTCTTCATCTATCGGCAAGTACTTGATTTCGGGTTGGTCTCCTTCCAGACGGACAGTTATCAACTGGAAAAGATGGGAGAAAAATGCCCTGGTCAGTACATTGGTCAGTGTTGGGCTTGAGAAGAAAAACAGGAGCCTGGATGTAAACAACTGAGCGAAACAAAATCAAGGACACAAGCTGGTCGTAGAAAGAAGCAATGCCAAGTGTTTAACACGGCTGTATTAATACCTTGGGCTGGTTGGTGTTATCATCAACCAGTGTAGTGAATTCATCATCGTCGGGCTTCTTGGTGGACAGAGTGAGGGTGACCTCAGTCAGCCTCTCCCCTGCAGCAGTCCTGGATGTGGTTGTGCTTGCTGCTGGCTGACCCGTGGGTGCACTTGTTGCTTGAGGAGAACGCGAGGCTAAGACTACTGCTGTGACCTTGATGGGTTGACGGAAGAGGAGCTCTACGCTGGGGATATCACTTGAGCTTGGGTCAATTGGCAACTGGGTGATTGTCAAGTAGGAGGTCTGACTATCAATTGTGAGATCTCCAGCCGCCTTAACTTCAGGTTCAAGTCCCTTTTCCCCATCCATGGGCTCTAGACAGTAACCTGCATTGAGAATATCCAGAAACGGTTGGTAAATGCAGAAAAGAAAGCACTGACATGCGTAATTTCGGGTGGAAAAAGCTTGATGAGAGGTGGTATGGAAATGTCCGAGGGTGATAATTTTAGTAAAAAGTTCACGTCCACACTATTCACCTGGAGTAGTTGACATTTGTGACGTCGTGGTTCGGGAGCTTGTTGTTTCTTCGCTGACAGTTGTTGTCGGTGTTGTGACAGTGGTGACTTTAGTGGTCATTTCAGTTGTTGTGTATTCTAAAGAATGCAAACACAAATATGTACTTGGATGAGCCGATGAAAAAGATACCTTGCATTTTGCAAGTAGTGAGACCTTTGGCCCGAGGTCATATCATCAAACTGTTTTTTTCCGTGCAACTTGCAAGGTTCAACTTCAGACAAAATGTACTTGATGAAACCGTAAATAACATATAAAAAAGCCAACAAGCAAAACAAACACATGAAAATAACCTTTAGGGCAGCCTACCTTCTGCACATCCCAGAACCTCCACTTGCAGTCTTGCTGATTCACCACCGGTCACAGTTTGGAACTCAATACGCAACTGCTCAATGCCCTTCAGAGCTGTGTCATCGCTCGGGAGCAGCAGTCTCTCAGGCAAGTCGCTGTCAAGGGTGACTCTGAAAATCTGTGCAATGAAGAGGACCAAACATGCTTAGAATTTAGTCATTTAGAAATGAGATACTGGACAACTGGGAAAGCAAAGTGGGCAAAGTGAGTGTAACCCGATTCTGTTGATTTGGGGGCTTTCTTACCTTCTTTTGAGTAGTGTCCCCTTCCAAAACGGGCGTGAAGTCGCTATCTCCTGGCTTCTTAACAAGCAAAGTCAGAGTGATTTCAAGAGGCGTAATTTCTTCTCCAGCACCTGTCGGAGTGGTGGAGGATATTGTGGATTGCAGCCTGAACCTGATGGCTCTGGCAATGACACGTCCATTGAAATCACTGTCTAGACTGGAAGGCTCTTCTGCTTCCGGAGTGATGGGAAGGTCTGTCAGTTGGATGTCACCTTTGGTTTTGTCCGGCAACACTGAACCTCTACCTCTGACATCCGACAAAAGTCCAGACTCGCTATCCATGGATTCCAGACAGTACCCTGCAGGGAGAAAACAGGGCTTCCGTCAAGACACAGCCAACGATTTGGGTCAAGTGGGATATAAACTGCAAACGTTTCCAGGCACCAGACAGAACCCATTTCCAACACAAGCAAAACCTATGGAGATGTCGATGCAAAAGAGTTGGCAATTTAATCTTCAATGACTGGGCCTGCTTTACCTTGGGTTGTTGATGAGGGAGGAGTCGTGGTTATCAGAGTGGTGGTGACACTGGTGGTTCTTGTCGTCGGCTGAGTGGTGTATTCTATGCAAAATGGTAATAATGTTGAGAAATGTGTATTTAAAGCATAAAGTCTTTGACAGAATAGTCTGCGAGGAAACAAAATTACATCTTTTGGTGGTTTATTTAGATCGCCTGAACGGTGACATTCGGATGTTGGTGCCGAATAACAGGACAAAGTGTTCTGAAGATATCTTTCGAGTTTTAGACAATAAAAGAACATTTCTAAAGGTCTACCTTTGATGCAACCCAGAACATGTAACTCAAATGTTGTTGCGTCATCGTCACTGACAGACTGGAATTGTACGCGCAGTTCAGTGATGCCATCCAGTGTGTCTTCATCTATCGGCAAGTACTTGATTTCGGGTTGGTCTCCTTCCAGACGGACAGTTATCAACTGGAAAAGATGGGAGAAAAATGCCCTGGTCAGTACATTGGTCAGTGTTGGGCTTGAGAAGAAAAACAGGAGCCTGGATGTAAACAACTGAGCGAAACAAAATCAAGGACACAAGCTGGTCGTAGAAAGAAGCAATGCCAAGTGTTTAACACGGCTGTATTAATACCTTGGGCTGGTTGGTGTTATCATCAACCAGTGTAGTGAATTCATCATCGTCGGGCTTCTTGGTGGACAGAGTGAGGGTGACCTCAGTCAGCCTCTCCCCTGCAGCAGTCCTGGATGTGGTTGTGCTTGCTGCTGGCTGACCCGTGGGTGCACTTGTTGCTTGAGGAGAACGCGAGGCTAAGACTACTGCTGTGACCTTGATGGGTTGACGGAAGAGGAGCTCTACGCTGGGGATATCACTTGAGCTTGGGTCAATTGGCAACTGGGTGATTGTCAAGTAGGAGGTCTGACTATCAATTGTGAGATCTCCAGCCGCCTTAACTTCAGGTTCAAGTCCCTTTTCCCCATCCATGGGCTCTAGACAGTAACCTGCATTGAGAATATCCAGAAACGGTTGGTAAATGCAGAAAAGAAAGCACTGACATGCGTAATTTCGGGTGGAAAAAGCTTGATGAGAGGTGGTATGGAAATGTCCGAGGGTGATAATTTTAGTAAAAAGTTCACGTCCACACTATTCACCTGGAGTAGTTGACATTTGTGACGTCGTGGTTCGGGAGCTTGTTGTTTCTTCGCTGACAGTTGTTGTCGGTGTTGTGACAGTGGTGACTTTAGTGGTCATTTCAGTTGTTGTGTATTCTAAAGAATGCAAACACAAATATGTACTTGGATGAGCCGATGAAAAAGATACCTTGCATTTTGCAAGTAGTGAGACCTTTGGCCCGAGGTCATATCATCAAACTGTTTTTTTCCGTGCAACTTGCAAGGTTCAACTTCAGACAAAATGTACTTGATGAAACCGTAAATAACATATAAAAAAGCCAACAAGCAAAACAAACACATGAAAATAACCTTTAGGGCAGCCTACCTTCTGCACATCCCAGAACCTCCACTTGCAGTCTTGCTGATTCACCACCGGTCACAGTTTGGAACTCAATACGCAACTGCTCAATGCCCTTCAGAGCTGTGTCATCGCTCGGGAGCAGCAGTCTCTCAGGCAAGTCGCTGTCAAGGGTGACTCTGAAAATCTGTGCAATGAAGAGGACCAAACATGCTTAGAATTTAGTCATTTAGAAATGAGATACTGGACAACTGGGAAAGCAAAGTGGGCAAAGTGAGTGTAACCCGATTCTGTTGATTTGGGGGCTTTCTTACCTTCTTTTGAGTAGTGTCCCCTTCCAAAACGGGCGTGAAGTCGCTATCTCCTGGCTTCTTAACAAGCAAAGTCAGAGTGATTTCAAGAGGCGTAATTTCTTCTCCAGCACCTGTCGGAGTGGTGGAGGATATTGTGGATTGCAGCCTGAACCTGATGGCTCTGGCAATGACACGTCCATTGAAATCACTGTCTAGACTGGAAGGCTCTTCTGCTTCCGGAGTGATGGGAAGGTCTGTCAGTTGGATGTCACCTTTGGTTTTGTCCGGCAACACTGAACCTCTACCTCTGACATCCGACAAAAGTCCAGACTCGCTATCCATGGATTCCAGACAGTACCCTGCAGGGAGAAAACAGGGCTTCCGTCAAGACACAGCCAACGATTTGGGTCAAGTGGGATATAAATGCAAACGTTTCCAGGCACCAGACAGAACCCATTTCCAACACAAACAAAACCTATGGAGATGTCGATGCAAAAGAGTTGGCAATTTAATCTTCAATGACTGGGCCTGCTTTACCTTGGGTTGTTGATGAGGGAGGAGTCGTGGTTATCAGAGTGGTGGTGACACTGGTGGTTCTTGTCGTCGGCTGAGTGGTGTATTCTATGCAAAATGGTAATAATGTTGAGAAATGTGTATTTAAAGCATAAAGTCTTTGACAGAATAGTCTGCGAGGAAACAAAATACATCTTTTGGTGGTTTATTTAGATCGCCTGAACGGTGACATTCGGATGTTGGTGCCGAATAACAGGACAAAGTGTTCTGAAGATATCTTTCGAGTTTTAGACAATAAAAGAACATTTCTAAAGGTCTACCTTTGATGCAACCCAGAACATGTAACTCAAATGTTGTTGCGTCATCGTCACTGACAGACTGGAATTGTACGCGCAGTTCAGTGATGCCATCCAGTGTGTCTTCATCTATCGGCAAGTACTTGATTTCGGGTTGGTCTCCTTCCAGACGGACAGTTATCAACTGGAAAAGATGGGAGAAAAATGCCCTGGTCAGTACATTGGTCAGTGTTGGGCTTGAGAAGAAAAACAGGAGCCTGGATGTAAACAACTGAGCGAAACAAAATCAAGGACACAAGCTGGTCGTAGAAAGAAGCAATGCCAAGTGTTTAACACGGCTGTATTAATACCTTGGGCTGGTTGGTGTTATCATCAACCAGTGTAGTGAATTCATCATCGTCGGGCTTCTTGGTGGACAGAGTGAGGGTGACCTCAGTCAGCCTCTCCCCTGCAGCAGTCCTGGATGTGGTTGTGCTTGCTGCTGGCTGACCCGTGGGTGCACTTGTTGCTTGAGGAGAACGCGAGGCTAAGACTACTGCTGTGACCTTGATGGGTTGACGGAAGAGGAGCTCTACGCTGGGGATATCACTTGAGCTTGGGTCAATTGGCAACTGGGTGATTGTCAAGTAGGAGGTCTGACTATCAATTGTGAGATCTCCAGCCGCCTTAACTTCAGGTTCAAGTCCCTTTTCCCCATCCATGGGCTCTAGACAGTAACCTGCATTGAGAATATCCAGAAACGGTTGGTAAATGCAGAAAAGAAAGCACTGACATGCGTAATTTCGGGTGGAAAAAGCTTGATGAGAGGTGGTATGGAAATGTCCGAGGGTGATAATTTTAGTAAAAAGTTCACGTCCACACTATTCACCTGGAGAAGTTGACATTTGTGACGTCGTGGTTCGGGAGCTTGTTGTTTCTTCGCTGACAGTTGTTGTCGGTGTTGTGACAGTGGTGACTTTAGTGGTCATTTCAGTTGTTGTGTATTCTAAAGAATGCAAACACAAATATGTACTTGGATGAGCCGATGAAAAAGATACCTTGCATTTTGCAAGTAGTGAGACCTTTGGCCCGAGGTCATATCATCAAACTGTTTTTTTCCGTGCAACTTGCAAGGTTCAACTTCAGACAAAATGTACTTGATGAAACCGTAAATAACATATAAAAAAGCCAACAAGCAAAACAAACACATGAAAATAACCTTTAGGGCAGCCTACCTTCTGCACATCCCAGAACCTCCACTTGCAGTCTTGCTGATTCACCACCGGTCACAGTTTGGAACTCAATACGCAACTGCTCAATGCCCTTCAGAGCTGTGTCATCGCTCGGGAGCAGCAGTCTCTCAGGCAAGTCGCTGTCAAGGGTGACTCTGAAAATCTGTGCAATGAAGAGGACCAAACATGCTTAGAATTTAGTCATTTAGAAATGAGATACTGGACAACTGGGAAAGCAAAGTGGGCAAAGTGAGTGTAACCCGATTCTGTTGATTTGGGGGCTTTCTTACCTTCTTTTGAGTAGTGTCCCCTTCCAAAACGGGCGTGAAGTCGCTATCTCCTGGCTTCTTAACAAGCAAAGTCAGAGTGATTTCAAGAGGCGTAATTTCTTCTCCAGCACCTGTCGGAGTGGTGGAGGATATTGTGGATTGCAGCCTGAACCTGATGGCTCTGGCAATGACACGTCCATTGAAATCACTGTCTAGACTGGAAGGCTCTTCTGCTTCCGGAGTGATGGGAAGGTCTGTCAGTTGGATGTCACCTTTGGTTTTGTCCGGCAACACTGAACCTCTACCTCTGACATCCGACAAAAGTCCAGACTCGCTATCCATGGATTCCAGACAGTACCCTGCAGGGAGAAAACAGGGCTTCCGTCAAGACACAGCCAACGATTTGGGTCAAGTGGGATATAAATGCAAACGTTTCCAGGCACCAGACAGAACCCATTTCCAACACAAACAAAACCTATGGAGATGTCGATGCAAAAGAGTTGGCAATTTAATCTTCAATGACTGGGCCTGCTTTACCTTGGGTTGTTGATGAGGGAGGAGTCGTGGTTATCAGAGTGGTGGTGACACTGGTGGTTCTTGTCGTCGGCTGAGTGGTGTATTCTATGCAAAATGGTAATAATGTTGAGAAATGTGTATTTAAAGCATAAAGTCTTTGACAGAGTAGTCTGCGAGGAAACAAAATAACATCTTTTGGTGGTTTATTTAGATCGCCTGAACGGTGACATTCGGATGTTGGTGCCGAATAACAGGACAAAGTGTTCTGAAGATATCTTTCGAGTTTTAGACAATAAAAGAACATTTCTAAAGGTCTACCTTTGATGCAACCCAGAACATGTAACTCAAATGTTGTTGCGTCATCGTCACTGACAGACTGGAATTGTAAGCGCAGTTCAGTGATGCCATCCAGTGTGTCTTCATCTATCGGCAAGTACTTGATTTCGGGTTGGTCTCCTTCCAGACGGACAGTTATCAACTGGAAAAGATGGGAGAAAAATGCCCTGGTCAGTACATTGGTCAGTGTTGGGCTTGAGAAGAAAAACAGGAGCCTGGATGTAAACAACTGAGCGAAACAAAATCAAGGACACAAGCTGGTCGTAGAAAGAAGCAATGCCAAGTGTTTAACATGGCTGTATTAATACCTTGGGCTGGTTGGTGTTATCATCAACCAGTGTAGTGAATTCATCATCGTCGGGCTTCTTGGTGGACAGAGTGAGGGTGACCTCAGTCAGCCTCTCCCCTGCAGCAGTCCTGGATGTGGTTGTGCTTGCTGCTGGCTGACCCGTGGGTGCACTTGTTGCTTGAGGAGAACGCGAGGCTAAGACTACTGCTGTGACCTTGATGGGTTGACGGAAGAGGAGCTCTACGCTGGGGATATCACTTGAGCTTGGGTCAATTGGCAACTGGGTGATTGTCAAGTAGGAGGTCTGACTATCAATTGTGAGATCTCCAGCCGCCTTAACTTCAGGTTCAAGTCCCTTTTCCCCATCCATGGGCTCTAGACAGTAACCTGCATTGAGAATATCCAGAAACGGTTGGTAAATGCAGAAAAGAAAGCACTGACATGTGTTAATGTCATGTGGAAAAAAGCTCTTCATGATAGTAAACTTGATAATCTGCATTGTCAGAGATATTTTTGGCATGAGGCATGTCACTGACTTATTTGTGCTTGCATTTAAAAGGTACAACATCAGCCAAATCTGACTTGAGGGCAGCCTACCTTCTGTACATCCAAGAATGTCCACTTGTAGTTTTGCAGATTCACCACCGGACACAGTTCGGAATTCAATACGCAACTGCTCAATGCCCTTCATAGCTGTGTCTTCGCTCGGAAACAGCAGTTTCTCAGGTAAGTCGCTGTCAAGGGAGACTGTGAAAATCTGATAAAGACAGAGGAACAATCACACATCAAATTTAGTTATTAGACAAAAAATCTTGGAAGGCTTAGAAAGCAAACATTTTGAATTCAAGCGTTGCATGATTTTGTTGATTTGAGGGGCTTCTTACCTTCACTTGATCTCGAGCAGTGCCTGCTTCCAAAACGGGTGAAAAGTACTCCTCTCCTGGTTTCTTAACAAGCAATGCCAGAGTGCTTTCTAGAGGTGTGAATTTTTCTTCAGTGCCTGTCGGAGTGGTTAAAGATATTGTGGGCTGCAACCTGAACCTGATAGCTCTGACATCAACAGGTCTGAGGAATTCACTGTCTAGACTGGAAGGCTCTTCTGCTTCCAGAGTGATGGGAAGGTCTGTCAGTTGTATGTGACCTTCGGCTTTGTCTGGCAACACTGAACCTCTACCTGTGATATCTGACAGGAGTCCCGATTTGCTGTCCACGGGTTCCAAACAGTACCCTGGAGAGGAAAAAAGTTGGTAGTAGTGGCGTGCAGTTATGGGAAGTACAGGAACCAGGTACCACATGGAAATATATGGAAGTACCCAGGTGCCCATAAAAGAAATCCAACCCAAAAGTTCAAATGCAGGTAATTTGTGAAAGAGCTGGTATAAATACACATAGACAGCTACATTCCGAGGGTCATCTGTTGTGCGTTAAAATGCGCATAAACATTAAATCTATTTTGTTTTGGTCTGTTCATGTATCCTGGATTTCATTTCAATAATTCCCCACAAAGGGCATTGACAACTTTTTTACCAAGTTCTGATGCACATCCCTAGTGGGTAGATTAAGGAGCAGATTTCCCATTGGGCAATGTAGGGGCAATAAAAAAGTAATACTTTTGAAAAAAAATTCAGATATACCAGTTGTTGATGACGGAGGATTGGTGGTGCTTCGTGTTGTTGGCTGAGCTGTCGTGTATTCTTGAACAAATAGAAAAACAAAAACAAAAGTTTCAGACATGTTAAGAATTGATCTTGTAAATGAAAATAGTTGAGAAATGACTGGTTTAAGCAAGGGAGGTGGTTGATTCTTAAAGAAGTCTTTGGAGTCCACCTGTAGAGCTTGGGTGTATTCAGGTTGGGGCCATTGGTTGGTGACTTGTGTTCATAAAAAGGGGAACATTGCTAATAAAACAAAACTGGGAGAAAAGAGCAGGGCATTGGGAAAGAAAATATGCTCATTTGTAAGGGGCAATCTTGGTAGTACAATGCACACGTATGTATAATTGATAATGTGTATATAGTGATTAAAATAGTGTAACGTTTGACATGTTGTTGGCTTTAAAATATAACATATTTCTTGCAGAAATCCTTCTGAACTGTTTGAATTTCTCTTTTATTTAAAAAATGTGTATTTAAAGCATAAAGTCTTGGACAAAATAGTCTGCATGGAAAAGAAAATTTCACCTTTTGGTGGTTTATTTAGATCGCCTGAACAGTGACATTAGGATGTTGGTGCCGAATAACAGGACAAAGTGTTCTGAAGGTATCTTCTGAGTTTTAGACAATAAAAGAACATTTCTAAAGGTCTACCTTTGATGCAACCCAGAACATGTAACTCAAACGTTGTTGCGTCATCGTCACTGACAGACTGGAATTGTACGCGCAGTTCAGTGATACCATCCAGTGTGTCTTCATCTATCGGCAAGTACTTGATTTCGGGTTCGTCTCCTTCCAGATGGACAGTTAGCAACTGGGAAAGATGGGAGAAAAATGCCCTGGTCAGTACATTGGTCAGTGTGTGGCTTGAGAAGAAAAACAGGAGCCTGGATGTAAACAATTGACCCAAACAAAATCAAGGACAAAAGTTGGTGGTAGAAAGAAGCAATGCCAAGTGTGTAACATGGCTGTATTAATTTAACCCTAACTCCTTATAGGGGGTGTGCAAAATTGTATTGAAATTGGAGGATTCAGGACTGTTAGGGTTACCTTGGGCTGATTGGTGTTATCATCAGTCAGTGTAGTGAATTCATCATCGTCAGGCTTCTTGGTGGACAGAGTGAGGGTGACCTCAGTCAGCCTCTCCCCTGCAGCAGTCCTGGATGTGGTTGTGCTTGCTGCTGGCTGACCCGTGGGTGCACTTGTTGCTTGAGGAGAACGCGAGGCTAAGACTATTGCTGTGACCTTGATGGGTTGACGGAAGAGGAGCTCTACGCTGGGGATATCACTTGAGCTTGGGTCAATTGGCAACTGGGTGATTGTCAAGTAGGAGGTCTGACTATCAATGGTGAAATCTCCAGCCGCCTTAACTTCAGGTTCAAGTCCCTTTTCCCCATCCATGGGCTCTAGACAGTAACCTGCATTGAGAATATCCAGCAGCGGTCAGAAAATGTGGAAAGCACTAACATGTGTTAATGTCATGTGGAAAAAGCTTTTCATGACAGTAAACTTGATAATCTGCATTGTCAGGGATATTTTTGGCATGAGGCATGTCATTGATTTATTTGTGCTTGCATTGAAAAGGTACAACATGAACCAAATCTGACTTGAGGGTAGGCTACCTTCTGTACATCCAAGAATGTCCACTTGTAGTTTTGCAGATTTACCACCGGACACAGTTCGGAATTCAATACGCAACTGCTCAATGCCCTTCAGAGCTGTGTCTTCGCTCGGGAACAGCAGTTTCTCAGGTAAGTCGCTGTCAAGGGAGACTGTGAACATCTGATAAAGACAGAGGAACAATCACACATCAAATTTAGTTATTAGACAAAAAATCTTGGAAGGCTTAGAAAGCAAACATTTTGAATTCAAGCGTTGCATGATTCTGTTGATTTGAGGGGCTTCTTACCTTCACTTGATCTCGAGCAGTGCCTGCTTCCAAAACGGGTGAAAAGTACTCCTCTCCTGGTTTCTTAACAAGCAATGCCAGAGTGCTTTCTAGAGGTGTGAATTTTTCTTCAGTGCCTGTCGGAGTGGTTAAAGATATTGTGGGCTGCAACCTGAACCTGATAGCTCTGACATCAACAGGTCTGAGGAATTCACTGTCTAGACTGGAAGGCTCTTCTGCTTCCAGAGTGATGGGAAGGTCTGTCAGTTGTATGTGACCTTCGGCTTTGTCTGGCAACACTGAACCTCTTCCTGTGATATCTGACAGGAGTCCCGATTTGCTGTCCACGGGTTCCAAACAGTACCCTGGAGAGGAAAAAAGTTGGTAGTAGTGGCGTGCAGTTATGGGAAGTACAGGAACCAGGTACCACATGGAAATATATGGAAGTACCCAGGTGCCCATAAAAGAAACCCAACCCAAAAGTTCAAATGCAGGTAATTTGTGAAAGAGCTGGTAGAAATACGCATAGACAGCTACATTCGCGAGGGTCATCTGTTGTGCGTTAATATGCGCATAAACATTAACCCTTTCTTTACCATGGGCGACTTTTGTCGACAAGAAGAACCCCCCTGCTGGTTCCCATGGGCGACTTTAGTCGACCAGGAAACCACACACAGAACACCCTCAACATAGATATATTCACTACTTTTCAGAAAGTCGGCATGTTGATATGTCTGGCCTCCCATACATCAACCATATACCAGCTGAAAGAGTGTTTTCGGATCGTTCTAATGGTGTAGTTTATTCATAGTGTTGCCATTACTAAAAATGAGAAAAGTGCTTTAGAAGTATCCACTCACAAATTGAGGTATGGAGTGCCATTCGGTCATGCGGTGAAATGGCTTGCAGTTTGATAAATGGAACCAGATGAACAAACAGGCCTAACTTTCTGATATTTACACATATGGACTTCATTTTTACATCACATAAAAGAGTAAGATTGATTTAAATCACTCCTTGGCAGTGAAAATCTGGGTTGAAAAAAGTGAGTTTTGGACTCGTGCTCATTTTGTTCACGCTCTAGTGATTTCCGCATGACTGAGCAAACAATTTGGTCCTGGGGAGAGCCAAGTCAATAAACAATGTGGTAATGAAAGGGTTAAATCTATTTTGTTTTGGTCTGTTCATGTATCCTGGATTTCATTTCAATAATTCCCCACAAAGGGCACTGAAAACTTTTTTTTTCAAAATCTTGGAAACTAAGTAATAGTTAAAGTCGGTTACATGCACTAGGCTGACATCATCGCTCAGGGTACCAAGTTCTGATGCACATCCCAAGTGGGTAGATTAAGGAGCAGATTTCCCATTGGGCAATGTAGGGGCAATAAAAAAGTAATACTTTTGAAAAAAAATTCAGATATACCAGTTGTTGATGATGGAGGATTGGTGGTGCTTCGTGTTGTTGGCTGAGCTGTCGTGTATTCTTTGAACAAATAGAAAAACACAAACAAAAGTTTCAGACATGTTAAGAATTGATCTTGTAAATGAAAATAGTGGAGAAATGACTGGTTTAAGCAAGGGAGTTGGTTGATTCTTAAAGAAGTCTTTGGAGTCCACCTGTAGAGATTGGGTGTATTCAGGTTGGGGCCATTGGTTGGTGACTTGTGTCCATAAAAAGGGGAACACTGCTAATAAAACAAAACTGGGAGAAAAGAGCAGGGCATTGGGAAAGAAAATATGCTCATTTGTATGGGGCAATCTTGGTAGTACAATGCACATGTATAATTGGTAATGTGTATATAGTGATTAAAATAGTGTAACGTTTGACATGTTGTTGGCTTTAAAATATATAACATATTTCTTTCAGAAATCCTTCTGAACTGTTTGAATTTCTCCTTTATTTAAAAAAAACAAAAACAAAACAGGCACCACATATTAAAAATTTGTGCCCTTACACCAAAGAAGTGTGAACTTCAAATTTGTTAAGGAAATAAAGCATTACCTGCTGTTGTTGTGCACACCTGAAGAGGATAGCAAATCATGCTGTATGTAGGATTCAATGAAGCAGAACTATTTGCTGAGGGCTGGGTGGATTTCCTCCGGCATTCACATATTTCACAGTCTTGCATAACTGATTCCCCCTCCTGTTAAAAACATATCATTTATATTTTCTGTTTACTTTATATCCTTTCTGAAACAATGACTTAAAAATCCTACACGCGCATGAAGGACGTTTTTGAAAAGAAAAATGATGGACTTGAATAATTGAGTAGGGACACAAACAACTCATTTTTTTTCCAGGACAACAAATGTGTACCCTGATTTTCCTTTAGATGACATATTACACAGAACTTACAAATTTTATGTTCTTCTTTTTCGTGGTCTTTCAACATTTTTTTTTTTCAAACGAATAATACAGCTGCAAATTATTATTGTTGTGAATAATTGTTGTAGTGGAAATGCTTCTTAGAGCCCAACGTGCCCTTCAGTAAACTTGCCAGGTGTTTGACTTTATAATATTGGCTAGTATTTATGGTATCAGGCTCTGTTACTGTCAGCACGGATGTAGCAGATCGTATAGTGCTGCAGACAGTAGACAGTAGTCAAAGCCTATGAAAAACTGTGGTGGATGACAAAAACTGTGAGAGCCAACATTCAGTGCTGGGATAGCACGATTATGACAACTGTAGAAAGTACGGGTAAGTAAACATTATATGCCATTTGATAAAGAATTTGCTGTTATTTTACGGGAAAATAAAGCCACTCTTTTGTCCACAACCTATGGTGTGGTTGCTGACCAAACACTTCCAGAACACTGACCAGACAGTCAAGTGGTAATTTGACATTATATGATCAAACACTTTTGTATGAACATCCCAGTCTATGTGATGAGCTCTTGATGACAAAGACAAAAACACAGGTACGTATGGACTCCGTACGCCAACAAAATAGGGCGCGTTTTTACCTCTTTTGAGAACTCCGTGGACAGGACATGCAGCGTGCGCGTACTGTACTGTACTGTACTGGTTCGCGCGCGAAGTACAAAATGTTGAATGTGCAAAAGCTATTCAACTTGCGATGTTCTCCGAGACTAATCCCCGCCTCTAGTAACTTTTGATACATTCGAAATACGTAGCGGATGGATCGGGAACCAGTCTAGGTCACCCCAAACTCTCCTTTTCTGGCCGTCGATGGGGTACTTGTACACGGAGCCCATACTTTAAAAAAATACATCGAAAAAAGTTTACACTAACGTATAAAAAGTGGTTATCGTGCACACAGTCTGGCTTGCAGCTCTCTACTTCGATGCACATGGATGTGTTAAACTGGAATCCCAGTTGTTCCACAGCTTCTCCCTCTTCATCCTTCACATAACCTTCCTTGCATTGGCAGTAGGTGGAAGCATTGAAGAACTTTGCAAACTCGGACTTGCATGTGGTTGTATTGTAGAAGAGTTCATATTCTTCTTGTGACTTGTCACATCTCACGTGACAAATGTTTTGACAATCTACAAAGAAAGGAACAAACATTTTGATCTAGAAAGGAAGCATTCTTAAAAGTTTTAACTATTCCATATTTTTTTTAAACATGATGGAAAAACATCCAATTTGTAAACAAATGTAAAATGTGTACTGGCAATGTGGAATTCAAAGTTAGATTATGTTATATTGTAAACAAAACAAATAAATTCTAGCTAGAGGCAAGTGGAGTGCCATGGCCTTGTGGTCTGGAAAATTAAATTTGTGGTCTGCGGAAATTTCTGCATGTTGTGGGTTCGAGTCCAGCCTGCGGCTACAGTGCGTGTGCCCCTGGGCAAGGCACTTTGTCACTCATTGCTTCTTCCCCCAGGAGTAAATGTGAACATGTGAGGGCAGATATGGTCATTGTGGTTGATTTAAGCTGCTTTGCGGCAAAATGGCAGCTTGGAGCTGTATACTCTCCAAAGAGCTCAGATGGTATTTGGCATGTTTCATTGGCCATTGAGTAGGTTAATAATGATGTAGCGCCTTGAGCACCAATAATGGTGGATACATGCACAATTTATTATTAATGAAACTAAAATACATGTAGCTTAATTGTTAGATGCAACCTTGCAGAAAATAATACTCACATGGAATTTCAGTTGTTGTAACGGACATTGTGGACAGGGGCTCCTCAGTTGTAGAAGCTGAACATCAGAAAAATGAGCAAATATTTGAAGGTTTCTACACAAGTGTATTATTTTGTGATTTACGTCATGGCAATGAAAACACAGTGATGAACCACCAGAATCAATTGCCAAAGTGCAGTAGTGGTAGTATTTTCAGGTAACATCTTCAAATCTTAACTTATGCTCACTTGTACATGCCAAGTCAACTTTTTCACTTACATGTGTTAATAGTCTCTATCTATGGATTTAGCCTGGGCCAAGTTCGGGCAAGAAACATTAGTCGACTAGTGGTTGATTTGTGACGTACCACCTTACACCTGCGCACTGATAGCAACGTGCGCACGTCTCTTGTCAAACGCTGGTCAAAATGTCATTGCAAAACTTCTGGATCCTGGCTCTCTGCTAGCGTTATGAATGCGCGCGGCTATTAGTTACCAGCGATGCAACCAATCCCAGTAGGCTGGTTCCAAATAGTCGACTAGCGTAGTCAACCACCATCGACTAGACAGAGTTCGGGCAAACGTTAGTTAACCATTGGTCAACTATAGTCCTTGCGCAAACTTGGTCATAGCTTGAGTGACTCCAGCTCTTATGCTCATCGCATTAGAGCTGGAGGTACAACTACAGTACAGTAGTACGTTAAGAAAACCTAGATTGTAAGAGGCTCGCAAAACTTGACTGTATAAACCTACATTCTAATTTCTATATTATGTCCCCGGTGTATCACTCATGGTATCACACAAATGGTCTATTTTCCCTCGATTATCCTAACCCAGATTCCATTCAACATAACTCATACCATGGAGCAGTCATTCCTGAAGCTAATAATCGACTCAAACGGAACAAGAAAAAAAATAAAATATGAAATTTTTGGATGACTTATTAGGTGGCGCTTCTCCAAAACAAGTTCAGTAACACGACTGTCGTGCATCGTGTTTCATGACGTCACTGAGCATCGCTCCACATATTCCTCGCTCCACACATGTAGTGTACGGGATGTATTTGGGTACCATACAGGTATGGTACCCACTATACATTGTACACCTGCAGTGCTCGATTGGGTTGGCTATTATAAGACATGTCTTTAAAGGGAACCCAATTAAACGGGTGAAAACATACTGTGAATACAGGTAAAGTCTACCTTCTATGAACATGTCCCATACATTGTATGCATGTAATGGTCAATTTTGATGTATTTGGTTGGCTATTATAAGACATGAGTCTTTAAAGGGAACCCGATGAGACAGGTGAAAATAGATGAATGCAGGTGAAACTTACCTTCTGCGCATGTGTCCCATAGAATGCACATCCCGGACTTGAACGTGTACCCAAGTTGTTCTTCCACAGCGCCTCCGGTGACATCTTTAAAGAATCCCTCCTTGCAGGAGCAGTTCGGCTGTACATTGAACATGTCACTAAACATAGGACTACACTCTGACTGTTCCACAAATGGTGCACTGTTGGATCTTTCGGTGAAGGCCAATTGTTGTTCACAGGAGAGTGGTTCGTCTATGTAGCAAATTTCTGGGCATTCTTTGAACGGAAACAAGCAAAAAAGCAAGGTGTCTTTTAGTGCTTCTAGTTTGAACAGTGACATAATTCAGAAAGACAAAGGAGTTGCTACTTGTCTGAAATTTTACAAATATGTTAATGTTCTCTGTAAACCGATAGCTTGGGTAATTACTCTAGACTGCCTCTGTAAACTAGGCTCCATAGATGGAAACAGGTGTGAAAAAGTTGCTATACTTGGGGGGGGGGGCTCTGAAATGTGCTCTGGTTAATATTTTGTTTTTTTATTTGAGGCAGCACACAAAAAATAAATTAGGCATTCCTGGTTTGATATATACAACTTCTAACTTTGTGTGTCAAAATTTCTTCCGGAAATGACCTGATTGGTCACCTGGATTGGTGACCAATGAAAGTGCCTTGTGATTGGTGATTGGTCAGGTGACCAATCAAAGTGCCCTGTGATTGGTCTGTCTGATGTTTGCCAGGAAACAGTCTAGCCAGAGCCATGCATATGTCTACTTTTCCTGAAATGAATTCAAAATGGCAGCCTCAAACAAGGCATGTGTGACAAGGATGTTTCCCGAATTGAAGGTGAAATTTCTCTTTTGTTCCCAAAGGTATGTAAACCTAACCACCACCATTTGTATTTCCAATTCCCACTGAAGCCTACAGGGTCGCATAAGGCAGTTTGAAGACTGTTTTGGGAGTGAAATATGAAGATTTTGATTGGGGGTACGAGTGAAAATGGTAAAAAAAAATATCAGTAACGCAATACCGCTATGTACCTTAACTATCGCCCGACCATGTCCAAATGTTAAAAAAGGCGATTCGTAGAGTCCTAGTTACTCGGACTACATCATACATTATTCCAAACACAAACAGTGACTTTTCCAGTATTGAGAGTCCCAAATTTTCAGGCTAGCTATGACTTTTCCTGCTCGTAATCGTATTATCAGCAGATGTTTCTCTAGCTCTACTGAGTGGAGCATTGAACTACGGTACCCTCCGTAATAACTTATTGTACCGTAGTTCAACGCTGCACTCAGTAGAGCTAATGTTTCTCAAAACACAAAATGCCTTTTCATTGGAATGCACTGGGGTCCTAAACTACAAGATTACCAAGTTGTGTTCCCTGAATTTGATAGTACTTTTGTTTTCCTACTTAATTTCAATTAAGTTAGAAGCTATACTGGCCTAGTTAAAATGCAGAACTTGCAATTAATCAAATTATCTTGTACAACTCTTGCAGGGAGTCACTTTTTATTCAGACGAAATAGGACTTTCGATTTTTCCTGCTTTTACACCAGGTAAATGGATACTATTATCCACTCTGCAACTAGTCCGAGTAACTTGGACCCAACTTATAGCTTATCGCCTTTTTTTAACATTTGGACATGTTAAAAAACGGCGATAAGTGGGGTCCAAGTTACTCGGACTACTCTGCAACTACATGCCCAAGTTTTAAGTTAAGATCAGACTTTAGTTCGACCAAAATTTGATGGGTCATCAGCCCTAAAATGCAAGATTCCCGACATGCCCGAGTGAGTATCAAGTGACTAAAAAGTTAAGATTTTAAATTCGGGGAGCACAGTGTTTTTTTTTACTAATTTAGCACGTATCGCTAGCTGCGTGGCTCACAAAAATACTACAAAAAATAATTATTAAAAAAAAAACCCTCAACGTGAGAAAACGCCGAAGGATAGTCATGATCATATTTATAGCTCCATGTCATTAGTCGCATCAAAATGACCACGTGCGTGCTGTGCGTGAAGGCTTTCTGCATGCATGGTACCTGAACGATTTACATACTTGATAATACACGATTAATGGGAACGAAACCTGTCTGATTGGTGAAATAACATTTTATTTCATATCATAAAAATTCTACGAAAATATATATTTTGAAACCGTATTTGTGTAGAGTAAAAATTGTGTTTACTTTTGTTTTAATACAAAACTTAAATAGTTGATTTTTACTAGTGTGTTTGGGTACATAAATGCACAAATATTTTGAACACATTTGAGAGGATGAAGCGCCACCAAGAGGCGCCACCAAGAGACACCACATTAATGGCACGGGGTGCAGTAGGCTGGTCACTAGCCCCATAAATGTGGCCTATTTACTGGACTGCCTCCGTAAACATAGGCCACACATCCACATGTACAAAAACGTGTCGACTTTGTCAAATTTAGATTTTCACATTTAGGCTTACTTTGTAGGGTTTTTTTTGCTTTAGAAGCATTCTCACCCTCAGTATATAGGCTAATCAGAAAGTGCTGCCTTTTTCACTGAGATGTCTAATTTTTGTGAAATTTCATGTTGAAATTTTGATACCCAAACGTGTGCAAATGTATCTAGAAATTTCACAAAAAATGGACATCTGAAAAAGGCAGCACTTTCTGATTAGCCTATATAGAGGGTAAGAATGCTTCTAAAGCAAAAAAAACCTACAAAGTAAGCCTAAATGTGAAAATCAAAATCTGGCAAAGTCGACACGTTTTTGTACATGTGGATGTGTGGCCTATGTTTACGGAGGCAGTCCAGTAAATAGGCCACATTTATGGGGCTAGCTGGTCACAAGTCCCTTGTATTTATTTACCTGATTTGTTTGGTTGTTCGACAGAAAGAGGCTATCCGAAAGCGGCACAAATGATGGTTTTTGCACATTACACAATAGCGACCTTGATACAACCGTAACTCTTTCCACATGATTCACGTGTGAGTCATAAGTGAACTGTACGCAAGTGAACAAAACAGTTCGAGAAGTAGAAGTAAACTCACCGTATGAAGCAGGAGTTGTTTCTGGCTCCGGTGTTGTTGGCTGAGGAATTGGTTCTACAGGAAAATCGAGCACAAAATAATAATTACGGGCCACTTAATGGAACCGATACTTGTTATTCCACACGCTTTCACAGTTTAACATTTGTTGCGTGGCCACAGTATATAGCAGTCTGTATGGAAAATTTTTATTGTTTTAAATAGATTTTCCCCCTTGAATGTATTATTTTTTTATAGACCGTATCATAACATACATTTCCCACAATAAATGTAGAAATGACAAAATATATTTTGTAGTCCTATTTGGATACATTTGAAGATTTTCAAGGTGAGGCATTGGAATTGAAATTTCAGGTGACACGTTCAGTTTGACGTAAAAGCGATAATAATTATTGGGCTCAAAACTAATATATGTGATACTTACTACAGTGAGCACAGCATTCACCCTCAACCTGGTATGGCTCGTATCCCTAAACAGATTGGAGATTTACAGTTTAAAGAATATCATGAGTTATAGAATCGCTCAATTTGCGAACGTTGTTCATATAACTGTTCGAATTTGTGGACATTCTCAGTCAGGCATTTTTTTCTCTGATAAAACAATTTAGAATCGTTTCTATTAACTTTGTAATGTTCACCCTCATTCTTATTCGCTGTGCAGTTTTAAAGGATGCACGTACAACAAGTTAATAGCCTAACGAAAGCAAATCAAACCAGTATAGAAAACAGTTTTTTTTGCGCATGCCCAGTGCGCAGAACCAGAGGCACGAGTGCTGAGAGTCCAAATTGAACATGGAAAAGGAGACCTCCTTTCATGGGAGTCGAAATTCCATATGAATCCGAAAATGCAGCCCTGATTAATGCTCGTGTTCATTTAGCTTATTCAAAATAAATCTATTTAAGAGAATGATTAAACAGCATACTTACAAGCTGGCAAGGTGGGTCCTGACACATAGTCTCCCGACATATGACATTGCCACTCTGTGAACACTCACATTCCTCGCACACATTCGGCATCCAAACCTCCCCAACCTTCAAATGAAAAATACCCATTTTCATATGTACTCGTTCATTGCTTATTAGGCGATATTGACTAAATTGCCTCCAACCATACTTAGTTTGCGTCACACATTATTACAGGGATAACTTAGGTAACAAACTATCTATTTGAAATTTTGTTTGAGTTTTACTTTTTTTATACAAATAAATTACATATTCCCATGTTGTGTTAGTATTTACACCATCATTAAAATGTTCTTAGGGTTATTTTGAAAATGCTGCGTGTGAAAAGTGTTCTCTCACAAATTCAATAACATTGGGTAACAACCGAAAGATTACGTGATGGAAAAAAAAATGTGTGCTTCCGTATCCTGTTGATAACGTCATAATCATTCCCCTTTTATTATACGACTAAATAAGATGATTGGTTATGATTGCAGTGATATGAACGATTGATAAGATGATTGCATATTTTTGTTTCAGATTTTAAAAATATTTATAAGCTTTGGAAACTCACGGATCTGTATACATCGACGGGATCTTCGTCGTGTTTGCAACGTTCTGTTTAAAAAGTACAAACAAAGGTAAGTTACTCAGTTTTGAAACATTTCTTCTCGAAAATTGTTAATGTGTAAAACAAGAATTGATTGGTAAAAGGTGAGAATAAAATTGTAACAGCTCATGTGTTTGCGTAGGGTTTGTAGTTGGATGTGATTTGCATTTAACACAAAAGCCAAAGTATTCTGCCTATTTATTAGGACATAATTTGTATAAGCCGAAATTAATATCGTTTGGATATTTATTAATGTTTTATGTAAGCCGAGACAGAGGGGAAAGCAAATGATGGCCCGTTTACCTTTTGGAACGCAGTGACAACAAATCATATCGTCGGGGTCCTCGTTGACTAGGTCCATCTTTGTTTCAAAAAGAAGAAATAAATCCATCCGTATTATTTTATTTGTCTTCTACAAACCATTCACTTCACTTTCACTTTGTCGCTGTGTTTTAGAACAGCATAATCACACGATTTTATAAATGTAATACAAAAGACAATGTTGCTCTCTCTCAAGTGTTAGTTTGTCTTTAAAAAAGATAAATTTATTCTTACATCTTCGCCACATGCATCTTTGATCTCACAAAATTCGTGGCAGTTTACCAAGCAGTTATCAACATCCTTCCACTTGCACATGGTGCAGTTATCCTGTGTCCAGACTTTCTCATTCTATTTAAAGATTAACAAAGAAAAATTAAGGGAATAATATCCATGAATTTGCCAGGGATGACAAAAAACAAAACAGCCAGAGCCGGCTGATGAAAAAAAGAGGTAAAAGGAAATGATGAAACTGAGTCAATTTAAAGTCTTTTTAAAAATAATAGTTTTCCCCAAAGCGAGTCGCATCACACGTCATGAATTTAATCCAAGCAGGGTGTTCGCTGCTTATGAAGGGCAAAAGACTCGGTAGTGGATCAAAAAAAGAAAAAAAAGAACAAAAACCGTGGCTGGAGTCGAGATTGTATTCAAGCGACGATAGACGAAGCGTTGCAGTCAACGCATTAAAATTCTCAAAGGTCTCACGGAAATTAACGAAATCTGGGAGTTTTCCCGTTATGTAAATACATGTCTTTAACATTGGTTAGTTGGAGCGGGTTGGTTAGCAAGCACATTAGGCTCATGGATCCCAAATCTACATTTACTACGACGTGATCGGCAAGGATCCACTTCGAATTGTTCGTTTAACGAGCGCTTAACATACGTACCAAGCGGTCCATGTAGAGACAGGGGCACTGTTCAACACACTCCGTTCCATTCCAAAACATCTCTTCTGAACAGCTGCATCCAGGCATGCAATTGTCAGAGCACGTCATCTCTGGGTACTCACAGCTGCGATTGCATGCACATTCGCTATACACCATTCCGTCTTGGCATTCTATAAACAGAGTTACGACTATAAGTAACACATTTCGTGCACTGTACTATTTTGTGCTGGTTTATACAGTACCGCATGAATGCAAAGCTAAGCAGGTAAAAGCGATTACCAAATCGCCATCCTTTTGATTATTAGTACAGAGTTCAAGAAATTGTAATACAGTCGTGAAGAAGGTTTCAATTACCATAAGCATATTCACAATAAAACTCAGAAAGATGAGGCTACTTGCATTTTCCGTAGGCTATAATGTATGTACTTAATGCGGTGTATCAAAGGAAATAATTTTAGAGTTTTCCCTGAAGCTGTTTGAGGCACTTAACTTATTATAAGCAATTTCTTTAAGCTATATACTTAGGATACTTCACAAATTGACGCGACCTATGACATTTCAAGAAGATACGGGGCATGAGTTTAAACGTATAAAACTTGAAATTAGGTAATACGCTTAACAGTTGAAAGAAACTGCGGGAGAAAAGTGACAAAGTCGTGAAAAGGCCTACAGAATGAATACTTGCCTGGTACACAGGAGCAACACTCGCCGGGAACATCCCGAAGCATTGTTCCATTGGAACACACTTCAATGTTGCAGTTGGGAATAATGCTCAGTGGATCTTCAACTCTTTCTGTTGTCCTCTCGCAGATTCCAATGTAGCAATCATTGATTACTACTGTGTCACCGTACTGTAAACAAAGTATTTTATAATGTACAGTTAGCTTGAAAAAAGAAGAAGATCGTTCAAGGCGTGTTTATTTATGGTGTATTGCTCACAGCGCAAAATATTTTCCCTAGCGGTATGGACATTTGAAAAAGTAAGATCTACAAAATTGAGAAACAATGTTTGCGTTTAAATACCCATTGAACAAACGGGGCTAGTTCATTACACTGTAGGCAAGCCCTATATGGGTGAATAAGTAAATACATAATTACTTTCCAGCTAAAAAGTGATAATCCCATACAGTATGGCACTGTGACGTAATTGGGAAATTGATAATGAAACGGGTACAATTTAAAAACCAACCCAACATTTACAAGCTGTAGAACCATGAAAAGGACCCCAAACCTGGTCTTAAAACTTGTCCTTGGATATACTGTGCAGTCAGTTTTTCCTAATGATTATCCATTAGGGCATATTTGTTTTAGTTTTCAACATTTCTAACACTGGATTTACCGCATAGAAAGTCCCGTTGTAGTAGCATGGACACTCCTCCGGCTCCACGCACATCTTATCGTGTTCCAACATGCCGGCCGGGCAGCTGCAACCGGGTACGCAGGTCGAGTTGTCACATTCATAGACTGGATCTTCTCTCGAAGCCATAGCTTGGCAATTCAGCTCACAGGCACAGTCGGTCCAAACCATAGAGCCGTCACACATTTCTGAGATATTAATGAACCGTGAGCTTTGGTATATAAAATTACGGTATTAGTCAGCCGTGAGATGACTTTCGAGTGAGACTAATAAATTGCGAATTGCCGAATCATGAAACCTATAACAGTCAACCATGTACCGCGCATATCATACCTGCGATGTATGCTTTGTTGTTGCTAAAAAGCACTTATTTACGTCATGATGTACTCGTCAGGAAAATTATGTGGGAAAGAATAAACTTGACATGAATAACTGGAAAAATAAGATCGTTAATTGTGTAGAATTTTCCCGGTTGAGATGATAGACAACAAGTCAACAGTGCGAGGTATTACAATCTGGAAACCTTTACAAGTTTACTCTTGAATTGTGCTGTACGAAGTTTTTAATCAAACCGAGACTTTATAAAAATCATGAGATGCACGATTATTCCAGCACTGTTTTCTGGAAGCCGAAGTTTTTACCTTCAGTTGTCGTTGCCGCTGCAGTTGTGCTCGTTATTTCTGTAAATTACAAGAAAAATGAAAATGTTTGAAGGTGTTCATGCCACACTCCTGCTATATTGACGATGGTTGGGAGGATTCTTTGTAATTGAAGAAAGAGGTTCTAATGTAGTCACCGTACAAATGGCACACAACCTAGAAAAATGTATATAAACGCCTGCACTCAGTGCGTGTACGCGCGAATATCAGCCCTTTTCTGCTTGCACACCAAATTAGTGTGAGTATCGTGTGCATAGATTTATGCTTAAAAGCCAACATTTTAGTTTCAAATGGGCGATTTTTTCCCTTTACATTCAAATGTCATAATACAAGTTCTCTGCTACCGCTGGGCTATGTTTTTTTTTTCCATGTTGACAAAAGGAGTGATTTTGGGGTGAATTGGTCTTCGCAATCTCAAAGTTTTAATCACCGTGTGTCACATATTGATTTATTACAATACAACTGTTTCATGTCAGGTGCAATTTGGAGGTCTAGTTCACAACACAGCCGTACACTGGCCAGGCGTTCCAGGAACCGTAGGGAACTGGGAAACTTAGGGCGATTTCAACCTTAGAAAGGGCAACTTTAGAAATACAATCTTTGTGATCGTTGGCAACTTTATTACAATTTATAGAGCTGGAAGTTAAATCTTATAATATATATGCTTTTGTAGCACTTGTTTTGTGAGTTTAGATTGAGATTCAGATACAGAACGGTAATTGATTTTGTAAACAAGTAATCTGTAACAAGTTCAAAATTTGACTCCTAGTGTTTTGATTTGTATCTGTTTGTCTTGATTGTTCTTGGCGTCCTTAAATCTAATCATTTGAGCGGACTCTAGCGGACTGTAACGTACCGCTACACTAATATCCGACCGAAGTTTGAGTATTTTCATGGCATACCTTCCATGCAACCCAGGAAATCAACACGCAAACTTCCGGAGTCCTCCGTGTCAATTGACAAAATCTCCAGTCGAAGTTCTTCAATTCTGGTCACTGGAGTGGGCAAGATCGCAACTTCGGGCCTTCTACCATTCAGGGTGGCCTCGACAATCTAGGAAAAGTGAAGAAAGTGCGTTATTTTTGTAGCGGTAGACCCACTTATATTTTATTCTGGATGGAACAGTAGTTTAAAGGTGGAAATTAATTTAATTAGTTTGACGAAGAGTATGCAATAACTTACGAGTGGTTTGCCCGTGGAATCCAGCACATCAGTGTAAGCTTGGGTTAGTCGATCCCAGACCGACGGTATAATTCGAACAGTTTGGGATTTGTCGGTATCTCCCTGGAGCTTCAAGGCGTGCACTTGGACTTCGGTGTTAAACTTGACGTCCAGTTTGGGGTTTTGGTCGCGGTTGTCCTCAGGATTGGACTGTAGCTGGAATGTCCAAGGTTTATCAGCGTTGATATCGGTTGACTGATCTCCAGATGCTGGAGATGTAGAACGGCCACTTTCAAGAGCTTGATCTCCATCCATTTGCTCCATACAGTATCCTTGAAAGAAATTGGCAATTGATCCGTTTTAATTTGAAACGAATTTGTTACAGAATAAAATGTATTTATAGAATATCCTTGTAACTGCTTGAAGCAAAATACCATGCTTACCTGCTGTTGTCGATATGGAAGTCTGAATAGTTGTAGTCACAGCTGTTCAGAGAAAAAAAGGAAGGCAGGCTACTTGAAACTTGGTTTGATTCAAGTGATTTTTGTTAAGAATGAGTGATTTTTTTATTTTCTGCTCGTGTCACTGGCATTTGTTTATCACGAGATAAACAAAACCGCACGACTACATTGTTAACGGAAAAAGACACACTGCTATGAGTAACAAGGGCGTCTAAAGGGTATATACTTTTCAAGTGGTAAAAAGTGTTGTAACCAAAGTTTAATACATACGAGGGCGCGTTGGCCGTCTCTTTGTTTCAAAATTAGAACCTTTATATGATGTAAACATATTATATATCTCATGAAACCACAGGTATAAATTTCTTCAATCATCAATGTTTTAACCAAAATTTAGTACATACCAGGGCGCGTTGGTCGTGTAGTTGTTTCAGTATCAGAACCACCTGGACGACCTTAGTTAACGACGAAAAACATTATTTACTTTTATGTTGATTACATTCACAATATGATACAAAACATATTATTAATATAATGAATGAATTAATAAGAAAATTATTCTGTGATCATCAATAGTTATTTTTTGTGTGTCTCACTTGGTAAATATTTGAATGACTATAGAGTTTTTTTTTTTAATTGTTATTACTGCTGTAAGAAGGGAGTTTATATGATCATGGTTAAATTGAATTTACATTAAAAGAGACACCACAAGTACAGAAACAAAGTATATAAACAAACCCGACACTTTGATCGTCCTTTTACTACCGGCCTCGATGTATCTGATTTAAGTTAACAACCACTTATATAACGAGAAGATGCCAAAGTAATGGAATCTAATGACGCTTTTGGACTATTGAGTGGTGATTTTAGGGAACATCCAATTAAAAAAACCCCATATATATGTATATATATATATTGATATAAACATTCATCTCATGAATACAATTTACCAGTATGAATTTCTTCAATCATCAATGTTTTTAACCAAACTTGAGTACATACCAGGGCGCGTTGGCCGTGTCGTTGTTTCAATATCAGAACCGCCAGGACGACCTGAATTAACAAGGAAAATACAATTATATAAACCTTTAGGTTTACCACATTTCCTGATTCTTCAGGTGGGGTTGTGGTCGTAATTTCTGTGATTTACACGAAAAATTTAAATGTTTTAAAGTTTTCATGCCACACTCCTGACATCATATTGACTACGGTTGAGAAGATTCTTTGTAAATTGAAAGGAAAGGTTCTATTGCAAAATCGACTGAATATGAGTATTTTCATGGCATACCTTCCATGCAACCCAGGAAATAAAAAAAATACCTGTCTCCACCCAGGAGTATCAATGGGTACCTGCAAAGGTAAAGACCAGAATGCGTTGATCTCAAGCTGCTGCAAAAACTGGTCTCGTAGCCTGATAAACACGGGGTAATTATAGTGAAGCGCTTTGACACCTTTGGAACACATCGCTTTGTAAGTACCACATAATTATTATTATATTTCTCACGAGGTAAATAAGGGAATGACTGAAAAAAATACGATTTGTCAAATACATATTAAAACTGTTATTTCAGTGTTTCTTGAAACAATCATGTTGAAAAAGGTTGGGCAGTCTTTTTAAATAAAACAGATCGTGATGGAAAATCGTTAAACGGTTGAGTATACCTTCCATGCAACCCAGGAAATCAACACGCAGACTTCCGGAGTCATCGTCGTCAATTGACAAAATCTCCAGTTGAAGTTCTTCAATTCTAGTCACTGGAGTGGGCAAGATCGCAACCACGGGCCTTCTACCATTCAGGGTGGCCTCGACAATCTGGGAGAAGAGAAGCAAGTGCGTTATTTTTTGGCACGCCTTTCAGTTAGACGGGCTTGAGCGATTGAAGTACTTGGGGCACAGGGTGAGAGTTATAGCCACTTATATGTCATTCTAGTTGGACCGGTATGTTAAAGACGGATTTGATTTGACGAAGAGTATTGAATAACTTACGAGTGGTTTGCCCGAGGAATCCAGAACATCAGTGTAAGCATTGGTTGATGGATCCCGAACCGACGGAATAATTCGAACAGTTTGGGATTTGTCGGTATCTCCCTGGAGCTTCAAGGCTTGCACTTGAACCTCAGTGTTAAACTTGACGTCCAGTTTGGGGTTTTGGTCGCGGTTGTCCTCAGGATTGGACTGTAGCTGGAATGTCCAGGGTTTATCAGCGTTGATATCAGTTGACTGATCCTCCGAAGCTGGAGTTGTAGAACGGCTGCTCTCAAGTCCTTGCTCGCCGTCCATTGGCTCCATACAGTATCCTTGAAGGGAAGACATTCAGAATGTGAGAGTGTTGTCAGATTGACTATGGTTGGATTTTGAAACTTGTACTACTCTTGACTGACAAGTGCTGTTAAGTAGAGAATCTAAAAGCCACGTCAGACGCAAAATCAAAGCATCAATGCATACCTGCTGTTGTGGATGTGGAGGTCTGGGTGGTTGTTGTCACAACTGTTTAAAGAGAAAAAGACAAGAACGTGAGTGTATCTCAGGAGAGAATTTCATGCCAGGGACCCTTAGTAAGCACGGACGATGCTATTTAAAACGTCATTACATGCAGTGTCACGTGATTTCAACCAATCCTGTGTCGCACAAAGTCCAAATCAATGTTTACCTTTGGTAGTAGTTGCCGCTGGAGTTGTGGTGGTTATTTCTGTAAATGAGAAGAGGAATGGAAATATTTAAGTACATAGTATTTCTCGAACCTATAATATTGAGAAGGGTTGGGAAGTCTTTTTAAATAAAATAGATCGTGATGAAAAATCGTTGAAGGGTTGAGAATCCTAATTAACACACCTTCCATGCAACCCAGGAAATCAACACGCAGACTTCCGGAGTCGTCCTTGTCAATTGACAAAATCTCCAGTCGAA